CCTCAGGGATGGGCCTGTGCAGCCCCAGGAGCTGGACTTGATGGCACAAAGCCCTTGGGCACATGAGGGAAGTTTTGTGATGTGGATCTCCCAAATGCAGTGCTGCTGCTCCATCACCCACCAGCTTCATTTGGGCTTCAGGGTCACTCAGGGATGGGACTGTTTGGGCACTGAGAGGACACCAGCACTGTTCTGTCATTAAGAAGTCTGTGTCCTGTCAGGATGTGGGGTCAATGTGGATGAGAATGGGAGTGGGAGCACGTGGAGAAGTTATCTCCAAGTCTTGGGACCCCTGGGTATGGTCCTGTGTAGCCTCAGGAGTTGCATTTCATGGTACAAAGCTCTTGGGCACATGGTGGGACCCTTAGGGATGGTCCTGTGCAGCCCCAGGAGTTGGACTTCATGATCCTTGTGGATCCCTTCCAGCTCAGCTTATTCTGTGACCCTGTGGGTGTCGTGCCATGCTGTCGGTGTTCCCTGGCAATTCTGGGGCTGTTCAGGTGATTGCCACCAGGCCAGTGCTTTGCACTGGTGGAGCAGGTAGTGGGAAGGGTCCCAAATGACCTGGAAGCAGGTTTTAAAGGGAGATGGATGGCTGGTGCCACATCCTGGGTGTCTGGGCAGAGTCCACAGACTCCCTGAGCACTCTCATGCTGCAGGCAAACAGGAATTTGCAGGCAAACAGGAATTCTCAGGCCCAGATGTGCCCCTGGACCTGTGTGGAGGCGACAGAGGTGTGGGGCCCAGCAAAAAGCAGCCCCAGGCAGGCACAGCCCAGCTCATCTGTCCCTAATTTCTCCTCCTCATCGTTTCCACTCACTCTTCCCATGCTTTTCCTTCCTTGCTGCACCCCGAGGAGCTTTTTGCTCCTGCCTCCCTTCCCCTTCATCCCTCCCTCCTTCCTGCCCTCCTCGCCCTTTCCTCTCGTGTCCCAGCTCAACCAGCCAGGTCATTTTCCTCTGGTGTAATTCCCAGCGAAAACAAGTTAATAATCGAGGCAAAGTGGCCCCTTTTTCAGTCCCTACACCTGTCTCCCACTTAATTAGCTTATCTGCCAGCAGCATATTGCTTCTGTGTGCCTGTCTCCTGCCCTTATCAGGCCTCTGTTCAGGCTAAGGCAAGAAGACAAGTAGCTGAGTGGGGTGAAAAAAGCCTATTATAAAAGCAGCTCTTTAGAGAGTCACCTCCTTATATCCTTTCCTTTCAGCTGAAAGCAGGGATCTGATACTGGAGTCACTGAAATTACCTTCCAGGGACCTTCAAAACTTTCCCATGTGCTCGTCCTTGAACTGGGGAAGGCTCAGGGGGATTGGGGTTTATTTGTGCAGCCTCAAATTGCCTGGCAGAGGTGGTTATTGTGTCCAAATGAGGATGTGAGGTGGGAGGATATTTAGCAGCTGCAGTGGGAGTGGGGGAGAGGTGCAGAGCTCAGCTGCTTTCAGAAAGGCTGGCTCTGAGCTTGGCAATTGTGATTCTTGAGGCTCAGTGTGGGTCCTGCAGGGGAAATTGGATCCCCATGCAGTCAGTGTCAGGGCTCAAAGACTCAAAGACTTTTTCAACTCCACAAAGCCCAAGGAGACCTTCCAGGAGGAATGAGAGAGCTCAGGGGCTGCCCCAAATCCTTGCACTCAAGCTTTGCTGATGGGTGCCCCTCCACTCCTCGTGGGGCTGTGTCTCTCTCAGTGCTGGGCGGGAAGGAACCTCCATCCCCTGTGCACTAGAAATATGGGTCACCACATGATGGAGACCTCAGGCTGCTGTTGAAAGGACAGCATTTTCCACACAGGTCTCAGGCAGGCTCTGAAATCCTTCCCATTTCCACACTGACCCTTAGATCCCACCTCTGTACAAGAGAGGGACCACAAGTTGCCTCTCTCTAACAAATTGTCCCTCTTTGTTCTCCCTGGGTCAGAAAATAGCCCAGCTCCTATTAGGCAGTGACTTCCTTCCAGAGGCAAAAAAAAAAAAAACCTTTAACTTGTCATCAGGGAAGTTTTCACCCCAAGTGATCCTCACCAAGAAGAAATGCTTTAGAGTAGCTGTTTTTCCAGGCATGCTCCTGCTCTTACCTTGAGGAACTTGTAGAGGAGGAAGGTGAACCAGTTGGTGAGCATTTTCTCAGCCACAGACTCTGTCCTGAAGTGGAGAAAAGAGAGAGTTGGGAATGAGTTTGTCATGCTGGTCCTATTAAAATATTGCACTTTTCCATCTTCCTGCCCAGTGGGCAATCTGGCATGGCACCATCAGGATTTAGCACGTCCTGGGTTCCCTGTTTTAGTTTTGGATTTAGGAAACCTGCAGGAAAACCCTTGCTGCCCTGTTGATTCTCCTGTAGCTACAAGTCCCTGTGTGTGTCTGTTTTCCAGTATCTCCAACAATGAGAAGGAGTTGATGACATTTGAGGGAATCTTCTCCAAAGAGCTCAGGGCAGATAAATCCATCAAATCTGAGGAGCTCAGAGCGAGGCCATATGTCAAGGAGGCTGGATAAATACTCAGGAGAGACAGATCTAAGTCTCTGGGGAGCAGTTATCTGGCACTGCCTATCTCCCTGGCATTTGGGAGTGATTACACTCCTCAATGTGTCACTGTGGCACATGCACAGAGCTCATCCTTCTGCCCTTGAGCACTCTGTCCTCAATCAAACAAAAATCCATCTCCAGGCTTCAGGGTGAGCTTCTCCTGCAGAAACTTGTGCTGGCTTCAGCACAGGCACTGTTGTCCCTCTCTTCTGCTGATTTCCACTAACTCCCAGCTCTGGGAGAGAAATGAGATCCCAAAATGCAGCTGAAGACTCTCCAGGTGTCTGTAGTTAACTCAGGAATAAGAAACAAAGCTGGGAAATCCACGTCCTAGGCAGGAGATGGAGAAAAAACAAGAGAAACCAAGAGAAATTTGGGGAAACCAAGAAAAAAGAAGAGTTCCTGCCTGGAAGAATTAAAGTGCGCCCTCCTCGTCATGGCTCTCGCCAAAGCCATGCAGAGGTTCTTGCTTGTTGCTGCTGCTGCTCTCTGTCCAGAAAACCTCTTTGGGGCCATAAATGTCTAGCAGAGTGAACACTGGACACAGGTGAGGTGGGAAAACCACTTCTACTGCCTCCTTTCTTCTGCCAAACTCCTCCAAAACTGCAAAATATTCCCTTTCACAGACTCATGGGGAGGGAAGAGAAGCACCAAGTTGAATCCAAAGAGCTGTCTGAGGGCCTCACACCAACATCTAACCCAAGGCACTGAGCTATTCACGTTTTGTTCTGGTGCTGCTCAGTGCAGAACTTCTTTGACTTCTCCTGGTGCTCCCAGGGTTTGGAACACTGGATGTGCCTTCTTTGTTCACTGGCTCTCCTTCCAAAGGCCACAATTAATGTCCAGCAGAGAGGATTAGACTTAGAAAAGGGCTGGAGGAAGGAGGAAGAGGAAAGATGGGAAGCTCAGAGTGAGCAAGAAGGGAAGACAGATGGAGAAAGAGGAAGCAAAAGGAGTAAATGAAGGGGGAGGCAGTGCCATCCAGCATCAGAGGAGAAGCACAGGCAGGAAGCCTGGGGACAGCTGGAGGGTGGTCACCAGCCAGGCTGAAGGGCACATCAGGGAGTCAGCTGACACCAAAGCAAAGCCTCTGCCCCTGGCATTGCTGCCCTGAATGCCAGCAAGTGCCTTCTGCTCCTTTGCTGCTGGTTCTCCACAGTGGGCCATGTGCCAGATGAAAAATCCCCCCAGCCCAGCAGGCAGCAGAGATCTCCTCTGTGTCCAAGCTGTCCATTGTAATCATCTGGGGGCTCCTCAGAGTCAGCTCTGAGCTGTGGCAAAGGCCACTCATCCCCAGAAGATTCCCCCTGATTTTATGTAGGGTCCTTGAACCAGAAGGGTTGGTCCAGGTCTGTGAAAGGGAGGTGAATCTGATCCTAAAGGCAGAAGAGGGAGCACTTCCCTAGGACATTATTACAGAGCAATAGATTCCAAACTTGAGGTTTCCCACTGAACTGTGGAGTTCAGACCTTAGGCCAGGCCAAGAAACATCAATTCAAACTTGTTCCCTGTATGAATCCAGTTCTGTTAACCCTCTCTTCTGCTGATTTCCACTAATTCCCAGCTCTGGGAGAAAAATAAGATCCCAAATTGCAGCTGAAGACTCTCCAGGTGTCCATAGTTAACTCAGGAACAAGAAACAAAACTGGGAAATCCATGCCCCAGGCAGGAGATGGAAGATGACATCCTCTCACCAGGGATTTAATAGGCCATATATGTGATATTCCTATACGCAACATGATCAGGGTTTTCAGATTAAAAGGAAATGTAAGCATAAATTAACATCTTAAGCATGCAAAGAGCTCAAAATAAGGATTGAGCTTTTCTTCTCCTTGTGAAACTTTCTGTAGGATCCACATGAAAATCCAGAGGTGGATTAATTCTGTAAATTTTGATCATTGATTACTTTCTGGTTAGGGAGGAGACAGAGCAATCATCTCCAAAGATGATTTTGAAGTTTATGTGGACATTGTGGGAAATACCAAAAGTAAGAAGACTTCCAGAAAGCTGTAAAAGCAGGCCTTAGAAATAGAAAGAACAGAAAACTTAGACCTAGCTGCAGCTGCAAAGTCTGAAAGTAGAAAAAGTTTCAATAGTACAGCAAGCAAGGACATGAAACAATAGCTTGAGTTTTAGGCTTGTCTAAGATAGACCTTAAGACTGCAGAAAAATATGCTCAGCAAGATAGTAGAAGGTTTTAAGCTTAATTATGCTTTAGGTAGAAGGTTTTAAGCTTAATTGTGTATTGCTAATAGAATGCATACAAGCAAGCATGTGTGAAGCAGGTGTAGGTGTGCTTTTAGTAATTGGCTAGAAAAATTGTCTGTAAGCTTTAGAAATATGCTATTAGCTAGAAAGCTTTTAAAATGCTCTGTAACAAAGTGTCTTAGGTTAGAAATGAGGTATTCTATTCCCATCTGTGAGAGGTGGGGCAGTTCTCTCTGTCCATGGGGCAGTTTTTTCTTTATCTCTCCCACAGCCAACCCTCCCTCCAGGAGATCTCTGCTGTCCATGGCCACTGAGTGTCCCTGCAGGGCTGATCCAATCCCAGCATCCCATGGGGAGATGCTCCGCCCAGGGGAGGAGCCAAGCATTCCTACCTGGATCCAATCTGAGCCTGGCACAGCACAGCAGCCTTTGCCACCTGCATTGCCAGAGGAGCAGCTTTCTGCTGCCCTGCATGGCCAGAGGGAGCGCAGGCCCATCTGCAGCAGCCCTGGAGCTGCAGAGGAAAACTCCCCCCTTGTGCAGGATCCCTGCTGCAGCAGAGCCACAGCTGGCACTGCAGGAGGGCTGAGCCCCCACGGGATGGGGCTGGGACACTGCCCTGACACACAGGGGGCAGGGACTGCTCTCACTCTGACAGTGGGTTGGTTTGTTTGTACCATTGCATTTGTATTTTTAATTTTCCTATTAAAGAACTGTTATTCCTATTCCCATATCTTTGCCTGAGAACCCCTTAATTTCAAAATTATAATAATTCAGAAGGAGGGGGATTGCCATTTTCCATTTCAGGGGAGGTTCCTGCCTTCCTTAACAAACACCTGTCTTTTCAAACCAAGACACAAAGAAATCTTTGGCTCCTGCTGGTTGTACATTGGCTATTGCCATCTTCTAATTATCTCAACCATGCAATGAGGCTGCAATAAACCTGAAGGAAAATCTGCCAGCACTCCCATCCTGTTCATGAAAAACCCCAACACAGGCACAGCCCTCCCAGCCCTGCTCCCTCCATGCCCTGCCATCCTTACCTCCGTAGCAGCAGCTTGGGGTGGTTCTTGCTCTCCAGGTTCTTGTCGATGAGGTCGGCCAGGAGCTGTTTGAGGACATCAGTGGCGTACTCCAGCTTGCTCTGCAGCACCGTCATGATCAGCGAGGCCACGTTGCCGCGGTCGCGCATGGAGAAGCTGCGCTGCGACTCCAGCGTGCGGATGAATGACAGCAGGAACACCTTGTTGTTGATGAGCTGGGCAAAGAGCTTCAGGCCCTTCTCCACCCGCTCCTGACGGTAGCCAGGGACCTGCACAAGAAGAAAGGGAGTTTCTTGGGTTTTTTGTCGCTGGAATGGCTCCTGAGGTATTAAAAGTCTTTTTTCACAGCCCCGTGACCGAAGAAGAAGTTGGCATTCCTCAGCTCTGGTTTTCAAGGTTATTTTCTTCTTTATTTTTCTTTTCTATTACATTCTTTTTCTGACCTGCTGAGATCTGTCTAGCAGGTCAGGTTGTGGCACAGTCCCTGCCCTTGGGGTGGTGTTGGCTTTTTATACTAAGAACTATGTGTACTTTATTTACAATAATTTTCCAATACCTATCACCTGTGTTAGACAGTCTGTCTCTGCTCTGAACCAATGCAGAAGTGTCATCATCACAGCAGAAGATGGAAGACAAGAAGGAGATGAAGAAGGACAGGACACGCCCAGATTCCTCCATCTTGCCTCCTGAACCCCCATTCTAAATCCCCAAAATTCTACTTTTTCACCCTGTGACAAATTCACTATCATTCTACTCAAACTCTTGTGGCTTGTAACTCCTCCCACAAAGTTGGTAATTGTTTCCATGGGCTAAAATCAAAGGCACAAGTGTTTGTGACTCTGTGCCAAGGTCTCTGAGCCCCCTGCCAGGGTCTGGAATCACCCAAGGCAGCCAGAGTCCTGGGTTCCAATAGGAGTTTTTTGCTTTCCCTCACTATCCCACTGTCAAATGTCCTGTTGTTACTCTCTCTTTGCTCTCATCCCTCCAGCTCCTCAGCTAAGGAAAGACAGGAAGGGAATCCATACATCATCTAAAGATTAGGAAGTCTGAAAAGACTCCCAGACACATCCAGATGATTTTTCCAGTCCTGTATTCCCTCTCTGATCTGTGGCAGCAGCTCTCTGGCCGCAGAGAGAAACACAACTTTCCCAGGAATTGTTCTGGGAAAGGCTGTGAGAAGAGCAGAGAAAAGAATGAGAAGCAATTCTTATCTTCACTTGCTGCACCTGGTATTGTGTAATGTGTTATGGAGATCTGTTTACCAAAGGGTGGTTTCCTAATTAGCCAGTGGAGATGCTGTTTTAATTAGAGGACAAATGAGGTCTACCTGTAGTGAACTTGGGTTATAAAAGTATGGGTTTCTTAATAAAGATTATTATGGTTATCCTTTTGAAATGAATGGGGTCTATGCTAATTATTACCAGCTGGGGGCCTACTTGTGTTAAAATGCCAAATTTGGGTGGTTATTAATTTATATATGCCTTGGTGACATGTATTGCTCTGTGGTGAGACCCTCCAGCTTCCAAAAAAGGTTTTCAAGGGCTTTCAATACATCCAGAAGGGATTTCTAGCACTTAAATGTGTCACCATGCCACGTTATATTTTTATTTTAGTCAGACTGAAGTCTTACTCTGATTTCATCCAGGACTTCTTTCTCATTCCTGAAAGAATCCTGCTTTTAGAGGTTTGGGGTTCAGCTTTAGGGAGCTGGGAGAGGCAGCAAGAGAGTGACTGGGAAAAAGAGCCCAGGGTGAGGTTTTGAGGCGATGAAGAGAGGCAGTGAGGCAGTGGCTGAGATGGTGACCATGGAACTGGGCCTTGGTGTGAAGAGCCAGGCAGGTGAAGGTGTGAGAGGACACCCTGAGCTCCAGCAGAACCCCTGGGCTTGGGAGCTGAGGTGTTTTGGGAACAGTGATTGATAAGTCTCTTATTTCTCAGCTGTGAGAGGCTTATGAACTCATTTTTATATGGAACAAATTATATGGACCTCAGTGCTGGACCTTGGGCTCCACACAGGTCTTTTTGATCCTGCTGGCTCTAGGCAAAAATCCTTCTGGCTTTTTGATCCTTCTGGCTCTAGGCTCTCTTCCTAAAAAGAGAACCCTAAACTCATCCCTCTACTTGCTGAAGCTGTTCCAGCCCTTGAAAACTTTATTGGAAGCTGGAGGGTCTCACCACAGAGCAGCACATGTCACCAAGGCATATGTGAATAAATAACCACCCAAATTTGGCACTTTAATTCAAAATAAGTTGGCTTGCTTAAACAGACAAGCCATGCAAGGCCTCTTATAGAGTTGTTACTTTTTAATTCTGGAAATTAGAGTTCTGAACTCTTTTTGCATCCAACAAATAAATTACTTCCTAAATAGATTGAGGCAACCAACCAACCAACAAACCACCACCACCCATCCCGCCAATAATTATTTTTAACTCACTCACTTGAACATTTAATATTGTCTATCCCAGGGTTATTATGGAGAATTAAAACAAAATAACAAGAAAAGTATTTTGTGCTGCATCTGGAAGCAGTTAATTAGCAAATGAACTGGAAATAAGTAAGGCCTTCTCACTGTGGGATCTGTGCTGGGGCCTTTTGCAATAAATAGCAATTCCTTCTGGGTGCTACAGAGAAGGGAGCAGAATGGGAGCTGCCTTCACGTTGGTAGCCAAAGATGCTGACACAGAGAGAGCTGGTGAAGCTTTTCAAAGGATTAAGGGAAAAAAAAAACCCCAACAAATGGAATGAAAGAAAGGAGAGATCAAAGGTGTTGGATTGGAACATTAGCTCAGTGTGTATCTACATAGGGGAGCATCCGTGCTGAGGCCTCTGCAGGGGTCAGATGCTGCTCTGTGATCAGCTGAATGGGGTTAATGAATGTAGGGATGGAAATTGGCTGTGGGGATGATGGAAATGTTTGTGTGTACACACATGTGAGAGGGAGGTTCAGCACCCCTTGTTCCTCCTTTGTTGGAGCTGCTCGTCCTGAGGGAAACCAGCTGGAAGCCCCTCCAAATCTGCACTCCAAATCTGTGTGGCAGCTACGTGTAACTCAGCCTCCTGCCCAGCCCCACAAGCCCTCCTTGCTGACAGATCAGGTTTTTTAATGTCTCTCTCCACACAGTCGGGTGAATTTTGGCTCTTCCCCGTGTCAGGAGCAAAGGCGAGCAGGCATCTCTGATTACACAGCCAGCCAAGCGTGGACCTGCCTGTGCCAGCTCCTGCTCCTCCTTCCTGCCAACCAAGCCCAGGCCTGGCCTCCAGCAATCTCCCAGGCCCATGCCAGAACCTCTCTGGAGCTCAGAGCCTGCCAAAGGCTTTGCAGAGAGCTCAGCCATCACCTTGGCCATGGTGTGGCTCCTGATTCTCCAGCCCAGGTACTCCTAGAGCAGAGCCTGTCCATCTGTCAGTGCCTGGAGCAGATTTTAGCCTGGCAGACCTCACCTGGGCTCCCACCAAGCTCCTGTCACCACTCAGGTGATACAGGCTCTGTGTAGACCCCAAGGTTTGTGAATAATGTCTCACAAATCTCCATTCAGAGAGTTGAGGTAGAGGAGGAAGATGTGGACAGGGTATGGACAGACTGACACTGTGGTTTTCTGACCTCACTGCAAAGAAGAATGCAGCAAAGGTGAACCTCCCTCAGTGGCAGAGGGTTATTTTTATAGGGGTGGGTTATTTTTATAGGGGTTGCCACAAAGAAAACATGGTCTCGTAGTAGTGTGAGGGTCATGAAAAGCTGGATGACACAGGCAAACATGCTCCTCTGCCATACAACAGGTTTTCCTTGCCCCTGCATGGCAGAAAATATTAAATCCAGTCTAAAACTCAAGCCACAGAAGGGTTAAGACCAAAGAGAAGCTTAATTGAGTAGACCTATGATTTATGAGTTTTCCAAATAAGGGAGTGATCAAACAGAATTTAGCAGGTAACAAGTGACAGGATGAGAGGAAACAGCCGTAAAGTTGTGCCAGGGGAGGTTTAGATTGGAAATTGGAAAAAAATTCTTAATTGAAAGGATGAAAGATGGTGTAACAAGCTGTCTAGGGGAGTTCTGGGATTACAATCCCTAGAGGTTTTCAAAAAGTGTGTGGATGTCACACAGGGGGACATGGCTTAGTGATGGAATTGACAGCTTTGGGTTGATGATTGGAACTGATGGTCTTGGAGGTCTTTTACAACCTAAATGATTTTATGATCTAATATGATCTAAGATAACAGCAAACTTTTCCTCTTTCAATCCAGATTTTTAATGAGGACCTGTTTCACCCCTTGTAGGACACAGCACAATCAAATCATCACATCCCCAGCACTGACACAGAATCTCTGGAATTTAGGACTGAACAGGGAGGCATGAGAGGAGCTAGAAGCAGGAAATGTTGTTGTTTTACCTCCAAATCCCTCAGGACTGGATGATCTTCAATGCCAGGGAAAAGCACTCTCATCGTGTAGGTTCGGTAGTCGAGGAAAGGGATCCCAGCTCCATCCAGGTCACTCGTCAGCTCATGGATGTCTGTCTGCAGCTCTGCAAAGGCTGGCACAAAAACAGAACAACTCAGGGAGCAGTGAAAATCCAGATCAGCCTCACCAGAATGGGAAAAACTCCTGACCCTCATGAATAAGAATAAGGAATAAGGCAACATGTGGAGAGGAGGAAGGTGGATGAAAGCAGAGTCGCCTTTCCCACAACACAACCCTTCCCCAGGGACGTGTGCCAAGGCTTTCTGCGGATTTTGAATTATCAAATCCAGTTAGGAGAGGATTGGGTGAGAGAAAGTCTGAACTTTTCTGAACTCTAGGAGAGGGTGGAGAAAGTCTGAACTAAGGGAAAACAAGGTAAATCAGATTAGATTCAGGCTCAAGACACACCCACAAGGTTCAACACCATAACTCAACACTGATTTTAGCTCAAAGCCTTATGACTTGATGTCTCCCTTGTACCAACACTGACACAGTGCCATCCTGCCTCTCTCAGCCTACCTTCTTTGCACTCCAGGGCCACCCTGGACTCCAGGTTGTCCATCTGCATCTGCAGGCGCTTGAGGGTGAGGTCGCTCTCCCTGGACTTGCGCTTGTAGGCGATGAGCACGGCCACAATGAAGATGATGAGCAGCCCGCCGGCCACCGCAATGCTGACGATGGCTGGCAAGCTCAGAGGGCTGTCTGGGGAGATGTACACCATTCCTGGGGAGAACTCCATCCCTCCTACACGAGCCTAGAGGGAAAGCAGCAAAGAGCTGCACTGAGACTGTCAAACTGAGCAGGAGCGCAGAGGAGCTCTGTTATCGTCACTCTCTGTCACCCTCTAGCTGAGGGTGAATGGTGACAGCCCCTTGTCTCTCAAGCCAGAAGGGGAGGTATTTGGATATGGAACAGCTTAAAAACACTTGAAATGATAGAATCACCTCTGTTGGGAGTCACCATGAACCCAGCCACAAAAGGATTTGTGGTGAGATAAGTCACCGGTCACAATTTCTCCAAATCAGTTTGGGTTTCATTCTGGACTTTTCATACCCCATCTTGATGTGTTGTGTGGGGCACTGATGTCACTCAGGCCCAAAATACACACAGAAAACAGAACTCAAGGTATGGCCTGATGGTTCCTAACCCCACAATGGGGCAGAGGAGAGCTGACCCATTGAGTACAGTGGGACTGCAGAAATCAGAGTCACTATTTTCCTTTGACTCTCCTACCAGATAAAGCTTGGAAGCCTCTGGAATTGTGAAAATCCACCACAAACCCCACAAAGCCTGGCCCATTCCCTTTACAGCCCCTGTCTTAGCCACACGTTGTCAGGATGACTGCAGATGTTCACCAGTAGGAGCTGAACACAGCTTTTTGTTCTCCATCTACTTCCAGAGGTTCCCAGAGCTCCTTCCAGCCTCTGGAAAAAGCTGCTGTGAAAGGGCCTTGGTTTTAACAACCAGAAAGAAACCCTGCAAGCACTCCTGTTCTGAGCAAAATGTTCTGCTGAAGCAAGTCCCTTAGAGCCCTTTTTTACAACATGAACACCACTCCCATCAGGAATCCCACAGGATACCACTGGCTTTAGGCTACTGCAAGGCTGTTCAAAGCTATTTGTAGAGTAGGCAAAACTTGAGTGGTGGGAGGAAAGCTCTGCTGACTGGCCTGAAGGCTTCTAGGTCTGTGTTGTGGTTTGGGAATGCTGGTTGTAGGTCAGCAGAAAGCTGGGAAGATGCCATGTAAAGAGCTTGAAGGATGATGAGCTCCATCACTTCACCCAGCTGATCTGTGTCACAGAGAGGCACAGCTGGCCCTGCACAAAGGGCAAACTCTAATTGCCAGGCAGAAATGCAATTAAGACCCCAGGAATGGCTGTTTCCTGCTCCCATTGCACCTGGGACCACTGCAGTGTGGAATTAAGCTGTTTTCTTCCTCCGTTGTGAGGAACTCTCCCTCACATTTCCTCACATTTCTCCCCCACACCCCAGCCTGGTGTTCAGCCTTGTCCTGCATCCCACTGGCTCTCAGTTAATCTCCAGCCTGCCTGCATTTACTAATCCCAGGGCTTCCCCCATCTCAGCTCAGGCACCTACTCAGGTTTCCTCTCGAGGCTGCAGAGGAAGAAACCGGCCCAGCTGGAAGCAGCAGAAGGGACTGCATGGCAGAATCATGAATTAATGAATTTTTCCAGGTGCTCTCCACCCCAACTCTTCCTGGGGACATGAATCTCATTGCCTTTATCATCTCCTAGAAGTCATTGCGGCCCCAGTTGCAGTCTCAGGGAAGAAGGTTGTTTTGCTCTACCACCAGGTGTAGGCTGCTCCTCAGTGGCCAAGGAGACACAACTACAACCCTCATGTCATGGACAAGACCAAAGCAAATGTCTGAAAACAGCTAATTTCTATCCATCCCTCTCATGCCATTTTGCGAGGGGACTGAAGAGATGAAATGCCCACGATGAAAAACAAAACTAATCCCAAACTCATCTGTTCAGGAAACAGTTTCAAGATGACCAATTACTACCATGACACTGATGGCTTGTAGAGCATTTTCAGTGGCCAAAGAACCTCTGACACATAGTTGGGATGCAGCATTAATGAGTTTTCCCATCTATTTCAAGATACAAGATCCAACTCACTTATTAATCCTGAGGTTTGTTGTTGGAATGTGGCCTGCTCAACTGAGAAGGCAAACTGCCAAAATCACATCCTAATCCATGCAATGGAAGTTGCTCCCTTTTGCTCTAGATCACTGTCCCAAAATTTTCTCACAGCTCGCATGCTTTCCTTTCTGTCAGTGGATCAATAAATTGCTTAATTCTTTCCAATTTTCTCTTTCTCCAAGCCCTGCAGTCAGACGAGTCCATTCAAGGAATATCACACTAGACTCAGACAACCCCAGTCCCAAATCCCAGTGTCGATCCATCCTCAAAGCTGGAAGAACAGCCCCTCTCCATGGGTGGGATTTCTCTCACCAAATATTCCGCGTGCACATCCAAGTTCAACACTGCAGCATGATTCCAGAGCCAACAAAGAGAAAAAACACTTTCAGGATGTGAGTTATGTGAGCTGCTCCCAATACCTTTGACATTGGGATGAGGCTTTTCATTCAGTGGAAGTTCCCATTTTTCTCCATTCATGACAAGGGGATCTAAGCTCCAAAAAAGCAGATGTTCAAAGTCAGGCCCAGTGTGTTCCCCTTCAAAGGTGGTTTCATCACTGGGAAGGTCTCACAATCCACAAGTGAAGCTGCCATGATCTGAGGGAATCTGGCTCTTGAAGAAGAAAGCCTACGAGGCTGCAGTGTTATTGTGAGCTTTTAAAAGAAACACAAGAAAATATGCACATGCAGCCCTCCTTTACTTCTTAATCCACCAAGTGGTTTTGGAGGAAGCGCATTTTACCTTCCCGAAGACTGACCATAAACCCACCAAAGAACAACAATCTGGTCATTTTTAAAGACTATTAATAATGAATTTGTTTTAAATTAGACTAAATATTATAAATGTTTTCTCCAATGAAGTCTTAGTGGCCACCTGTAGGAGTTCAGGAGTTCTTAAGGAGTGTCTTTCCTGGTGCAAATAAAATTATCCCTCTAAGGATGAGATGAATCATGCCCTGAGCTGCTGCATTTGACCATCTCTCCATTCATTATAAAGAGTTTGGTGCACTTTCCAGGCTGTATCAGAAACCAGCAAACCTTTAGATGTGTTCCACATCTTCCCTGCAGACCTTCTCTGGCGTAGCCACTCGCGGATTTTTCTCACATCTCTTTCTTTTCCTTGGAACAACTTGCCTCTGGGTTTTAGTCAATCTTCTTTTTAACCATCACCCAAACCTTTTATTTCCTCCCTATTTTTTTTCAAACACTTAACTTTGTCATTGTGTAAAAGACAGCTCAAAATCAGACAGCTAGAAAGAAGACAGATCAAAAGCGTGTTGACATCAACGTGTGTCATTGCCACTGCTCCTTCACTTAGAAATAATCTCTGTGTTGCACCAGTTGATTCATTCCCATGGCTCCCTCTCAGTTTATGCCATCTCATTTTGCAAGAAATGGTTTGTTCAACAATTTCCTCAAGGTCAGAGAGTAAATCTTTGGCAAAATCAGGAGGAGGAACTTCTATCAGTTATCCGGGGCATCAGAGAGACGATTTGATGCCTTAAGAAGGCTGAGCTAGAGCAGAGGCTGGGCAGAATAAAGCAGGGATTCATTCAAAGGATCTCCTCCATGGATGCACCTTGGGCAGCACCAGAGCCCAGCCAGGGCTGCACCCAAGATGAACCAAAATGGCCCCAAAATGCACGAGCGCTCCTGGGGTCTCTCCCTGGGATCAGTTTCTGCTCTATTTGCCCCTTGCAGTTCATTGTCCCATTCCAGCTTCAGCCCAGGCAGTCCCACCCTGCTTGTTTTTCTCTCTCCAGCCCACGGGGTTTGTGCTCCTGGGCTGAGATTTGGGTCATTTGTCCTTGGTGCCCAGCTGGAGCAGGAATTGTTTTGTCTCCCTGCTCTGTGCACACAGCTCACCATCCCATAATTTGAAGCTCAGAACTGCACACTAAAACAGCACAGAATGTGAAAAAAAAAAAAAAAAAAAACCTGAGGCATCAGTTTGTGTGAAACATGGTCCCAGCCTAAGCAGCAGAGATGCTGTGCCATGCTGGAGGAGGCATTTTCCAGCCCTGGTTCCAGACGCAAAGTCCATCCTTGAGCACCTCCATCATCTTCCCAGTTTCCCAGAAGTATCCCTCATTTCACCAGCATCAAAATTAAAAAACAATCCTTTTTTGATTGTTTTTAATCTTTGCTTCACTTAAACTGTTCAAAGCTGCAGGAGCATGGGAGTCTTCCCAACTAGTGCAGCCTGGCCAGATGCCATCATCCTGGATCCCCAGGGGTTGATTATTGCTCACCTGGCTTTGAGTTTTGTCTCCCCAGGATTGGCTTTGTCTGTCTCTGACTAACCATATGTTTAATCATATCCATGAAAATTACAGGGGACATTTATTGCCGTGCTCAAAAGCTTTGGTTTTCACACAGAGAAAATCTCTCATTCATTATTGCTCTTCTTGGAGAGTCTTAATGTGCTTTGCAATGAATCGAGAGTCATGGTGTATTTGCATGGCTGGAGAGGATTATTGCCTCTATTTTCCAGATGACAAACTTTGGCACAGAGAAGTTAAGTAGCCACTACAAGGGATCCCAGCAGCAGCCACAAACAAGACCCAAAATGGTCATCATGAGCTCTGCTTCTTTCAAAGTTCCCAGAAAAATCTTTTTAAAGATCAAACTCTCTGAGTCTCATTGCACTGAAATAAATAAATAAATTAATATGTGACAGATACAGCTTTGGGAGGCACAACAGAAGAACAGTTGTTCCCAAGGAATGAGAAACACTGATGTCAGTTGTCAGCTTTTGTTGTTCCCACCCACAGCTTGGTACAACTCCAGGGTGTTTGCTGATATGGTGTTTATCAAGCACGAGCATCAAGGAATTCAAATTATTGAGAGGAAAGTGAAAAAAAGGAGTAAATAAATAAACGGCGAGAGGAGGAGAAGCTCCCTCTGATGTAATCACCAGGTTCATTCTTCATCCAGGAAGGATTTGTAGGAGCACACTAAGATTTATAGAAATCAAAATTCTGAAGTCCAGTCATACCATTGTCCACATCCTGCCTTTTTTTTTTTTTTTTGTGTCTTACATAAAGGCAAATTTTAGTCACCATCCTGTCAACAAAGTGATGGGGACTGTGCTGAATTTAACACTTTCATGTAGGAACATGTTACACATGATCTCACATGAGAATTCAAGGTTCATACAGCCCATACAAAAACAGAAGAGAGGCAAACTCTCCTACTGGGGTTTGATCATGAAAGCCGTCTCACTGCCCACAAAGACCTCCAGGTCACTGTTCCACTGTTGTACTTCTCCAAGCTACCCTTGATGCGAATATTATATGAAGAAGGGGTCTTATGTTTCTGGGAACTCAAGCAGTGATGCAAACCCCTTGGAGCCCTCTGCCAGCTCTCCAGCTCTGCTGCGCCCTCTCAAAGCACCCAGGGAGAAGGGGCTGGGGGTCAGGCATCACTTACCATCACCTTGTGCCTCCCAATGAGGTTTGGGGACTCACAGAGGAGCTGCACGTCTGACACGGTCACCGCACAGGGCTTCTCCCCCACCAGCACGGTGTAGTTCAGCCTGGCATTGCCTCCTGCCACCGGTGGGATCAGATTCCTGCCCTGCACAGAGAGGAACATCACACCCCAAAATAACCAAATAAACACCAGGAAACAGTTTTCTTTCCCCCTCTGGTTCATTCCTGGGATACAAGTGTTGATATTGCATTTGATGGGATCACTGACACTGCTCCAGGCCAGGTTGGATGGATGGGGCTTGGAGCAACCTGGTCTAATGGAAAGTGTCCCTGCCATGGCAGGGGGTTGGAATGAGATGGTCTTTAAGGTCCCTTCCAAGGTAAATATGATTCCATTATGACATTTGTAGCTCGCCATTTGCTCACACAGGGAGGAAAAGCCAATTTAGGAACTCACGCAGAGAACAGCATGAGTGGTCACAGACTCAAAGCATCACAACAGCCTGTCCTGCTCCTCCCTCTCTGCAGCTGAGTGGGAAATGCTCCATCTAAGTCCTGCACAATAAAGCCCTCACTAAACATAGGCAGGCAAGCAAGTCAGACCCCTTTCCAAACATGCAAAATGCATCTGCAGGTAAAATAACCTCTTTGCATATTCACAGTGTAAAAAGAGTTATACAGAAATGCTGCATCGTAAAATTCCTTCTCTGTACTGCTGCGAAGCTTACAGAAATTTCAAGGGACTGATTTGGGTTAAAACAAAGGGAAGAGGAAGGTCTTGAATGAACAAGAAATGAAACAGAGTTGAGTATTTCACTGTCAGCCACATTGCAGGGGTAGAAGATGTTCTCTGGTGAACAGCAGTGGGTGCAAATTTAGGCTGCACCCAGGGGTTTATAATTTTTAGTTATGATTGTGGGCAGTGCTTAGTGTTTGCTGATGGTGACTCTGATATGGTTGGAATGCAGGAATAGAGGAAATTTCTGGGGTGGAATCAGGATGATATATGGGGGTGCAGGCAGGCACAGAGAGGCAAGAGGCAGAATTTCAGTCCAGTCCTTGGTGCCCATCTCACCTTCAGGATGATGGGACTTCCAGGCTTCAGCTCCAGGATCCCTGAGGGATTGAAAACCTCGAAGATGGGGTTGGGGTAGTAGGTGAAGTTGGTTTTGTTGAGGATCAGCAGGGACTGCACATTGTCAAGGATGAAGCCAAATTCCTCGGGGCGCTCGGCGAGCTCAGACTGGTGATTGGGGTCCACAGCCAGAGCTGGGGCCTGGCAGGTCATCTCTGTGCTGTTCTGCACCTCACAGTTCTGGGGAAAAAGAAACCAAAAACACTGAATGTTTATGGGAATAGGGACCCTGGCAGGTCATCTATGTGCTGTTCTGCATCTCACAGTTCTGGGGAAAGAGAAACCCAAAATGTTTATGGGAATAGGGACCCTGGCAGGTCATATCTGTGCTGTTCTGCACCTCACAGTTCTGGGGAAAGAGACACAAACCAAGGAGTGTTTATGGAAATGCCCCATCCTTCCTGGTGGGCAGATGGCTTTCAGGGATAGGGAGGAGCAGACTCCCATGGGTTATTCTTATTCCCCATCACACAATCAAGGTTAGGAAAGCCTTGCTGGGGCAGGTGTGTGGAGCAGTTTGCACTTCAACAGAGCCTCCTGTGCCTCTTGAGAGAGCTCAGACTCTGTTGCCAACATCAGCATCTTTCCCTGACTTTGTTTCCTTCTGGAAATAGAAGTTTCTTCCCTTATTTTTTGCACAGCACAGATTAGTCAAAACCTCACTACCACCTTGCAATCAGGTCTCACACTCTGGTTGCTTTTCCAAAAATGTTTGTGCAGTGCGTGCTCGGTTGTGCTCAGTTTGGATATCAGGTTACCTGAAATGAATCCCAGCAAGCTGGAGAAGCAAAAACAAAAGGTGAAGGTCTCAGAAGACCCTGAAGTTTGGTTCCAGCCATGCCAAAAACCTTCTTTTTTGTGTGTGTGTCCTTCAGGGATGGGGTAATACTTATGGAAACAAACCATGCCCTCTTTTTTGGGCTGCAATAGGAGATTTCAAGCTCCAGAGGTGTCAGCCAGGCCCTGTCCCCAGCGTGGCATGTCCCCTCCTACTGGAATATTACCAATAGTCCAGCTCTGCAGTCATACTCACATTGACATGCTCCTTTCCACCATGCTTTGCTCGGATCTGGGGATTTTGGATGAGGTCCAGGTGAGTTCCCCACACAGCAATGGGAGTGTTGCCACTGGAGAATAAGAAATGGAATTAAAGAGGAAACCCAGGTGAGGGATGTCAGAGCTCATCACACCAGGAATGGGTGGTCTGTGTTCCTAAATGTTGGTTGCAAAGTGTCTGACCACATCTCATAGTCCCATAGAGAAGGAAGGAAGAACAACACAAAAAGTTTTCATTCATTCATAAGGGGAGAAATAAGTTGTTGGGAAGGATGAAATTTTGACGAGAAAGTCTCACAGATATTTATGCTTAGCAGAGAGATTTTTAAATGTAGAGTCTGATGAAGGAATAAAAATGAAAGCAAGTTTTGATATAGAAGAAAAGAATTGCTGAGCCAGTCTCACTGGATAACCAAGGAGGCAAAGGGTGTGTTAGTTAGAAGCGGTTTTATGGCTTAGAGCAAAGGATAAACCCACCCCAAACAAGAAGATGTTTTTACCAAGCACAAAGAGAGCACAGGCAAACAAGGCAGCAAATGGTGCAAGTAGAAAACAGACTCAGAATTTTCCACAGCAAGAAAACTGAAAAACAACTTCTAGCTTAAACTGTAATGCACTAACTTTTAGTGACTGGAGAACAGTAACATGAATATGGTAATTACAGTAGTTATGATAGGCTATAGATAACAGTTAAGGTATAGATTGGTTGATAATGTATGAAGTTGCTCAGCAAAGAAAAGTCCATAATGCATTGTAACCAAAACCAAAGGGTCTCCAGGGCTGCCTGCAGCTGGAGCTGACAGCTGTGGGCACAGCTCTGTCACCCACCACCCTGGGTTGCTGTGACACCTTGGGTACAATAAACTGCATTTTGTATACAATAAATATTGAATTTTGGATACAATAAACTGCATTTTGGAGAGTCCCTGGAGTCCCACATCTCTCATTCAGGCTCTTACAATAAAAGAAGAAAAATGTGTGCTGAAAATGTCATGTCAGGCAGCCTCTGGGTATGGATGCAGGGCTGGTACAACAGGAGGTGGGACAGAGTGATCCAGGGCTGAAAGGAGAAGAGATGTCCAAGAAAGCAAAACCTTTACCTGTCAGGGCTCCCACAGCCAGGACAGGAGGAGGATTTGCCATCAGCACTCAGGCCCATCTCTGAGGGTTTCCCAGGGTGAGCAGTGCTCTCAGCACTTTCAGCACCTGCCTCTATAACTCCCTTTGGAAACTGTCCAGGATGCAGTTTATTTCCTGCTGGGAAGGGGAGGCCATGTGGAAATCAATGGGGTTGTGAGGAGAAAGCTCAGAATCCCTTTCCTGTCCCCAGGTAAAGCTGCACGTACAGGAAAGGTGAGGCATGTGCATTATAAATGAGAAAACACCAGAGAATAAACACCCTGGGAGGAAGAAGGCAGCAATCTCCCCCGTTTCTGACCTTTGTTTTCAGTGCTCCTGATTTATCTTCCATTATTAATCAGCTGGGGAGGCAGGAGTGAATGCAAACACACACAGGAGAGCTGCCAGGTTTGGGTGAGCTCTGCTCCAGCCCCTCCAGGGGCATCCACACTGATGAACCAAACAGTTTTGGGGTTTACCCAGGGAGAATTGCCACAACCACATCTCTCAGAAGATGTTGGGGGACACTTTTCTGGGAGGCTCCTTGTGGTCTTTCCCTCAAGGGCTGGACTGGTCCATGCTTAGGGCAACATTTGACCTTGAGTTTTGCAGAGTATCTCAAGTTTTTTCTCTCTGAAATATCAGCTATAATGGGAAATTTTACTGTGCAAACCCACATTTGCTGTTTCTACAAGATCTGGATGAGTTTTTTTGAATGCACAAGGGATCCTCATGAAGTCACATGTCTTACAAAAGACCTTCCCTGCTTTACAGAAAAAAATATCCTCTCTCCAAAAGTCAGCTTCTGTGTAAAGATTCCTGACATCATCCAGGGAGAATTCTTCAGAACCCAGAAGTGTATAAACCAAATTGTTCTTTCTCCACTGTCCTGGGTCTTCTGAATTTTGGCTGTGAGCCTTTATGTTAATAATGAAAATATAATTTTATTGTTATTATTATATAATTTAATAATAATATAATTACTACTATATATAATATATTATATTATATATAGTATATATAGTATATAAATTATATATTATATAATGTATATTTTATATACATATTTTATATATAATATATATATTATAATTAATCTCTGCTGATTCAAACTAGAAGGGATTTTATATCTTTACTTGGCTAAAAGTTTTATGTGTTCCACAAAAATCCAATGTGTGAACACACCTACAGGTATGTGTGTCTATATAAAGACAAATCCTTTTATTTTATCAACCAAATCTGTGCACACAGCTTTAAACCCATGAGTTAAATATCCTCTATTTGGGTTGGAATTTGAGCTTCCGGGCTCAGACCACAGGTAATAAACACAGCCACAGCACCTGACCAGAGAGAGGGAAAGAAAAAAGATAAAGCAGTTTTTTGTTTGATGAAGAGTTAAAATCACCCCCAAATCCTCTCTGGTTTGAAAAAAAGGAAATAAAAATGTTTCTTGCCTTGAGTATCAATGGCCATTGGCATTTATGCCTGCATGTGGATGCTGAGCCAGGTGGGAGCAGAGCCTGGAGACCTGCTGCTGCCCAGCAAAATAACAGAGGTGCCAAAAGCCCTCAGAATTTAACAGTTTATTGCCCCAAAAGACCCTGAGTATCATTTTATGCCTTCAGGCTCAGGTAATTGCTGGATGTAACTCAAATCAAACCCAGATCAAAAGTATTAATGGAGCTCATAAAATTTTATTTACTTGCCAACCCAGTGTGACTTCTTTTTTTGGCTATGGAAATAAATTAGCAGTAATCTGTTCTTTATTGTTTTGAAAAATAAAGGTTTTAAGCCAGGCTTGCTGCATTTCTTCACTGGTTTTGCAAAGCTGGTTTAGTGGCAATCATCTCTTCCCTGGGAACAGCTCATTCCCACAGTTATAGCACCTAAAACTGTCCCTGACACCACAAATCCCCATGGTAATCCTGGATATTCCATCTCCTCTCTCCAGGGTTGTGCACCTTTGGAAGGACTCAAAAGTGCTTAAGAAGGAGGATGAAATTGGAGAGGTCTGGTTAAAAATGCTCAAGTTAATGCTTCCTGATTTCAGATGAAGAAAGCAAAGAGGAGAGGTTGTACCCAAAAATGCTCCATCCCTGGAAATGCTCCAATAATCCCTGGAAGTGTTCAAAAGCCGTGTGGATGTGTCACACGGGGACACATTTTGGTGGTGAACATGTCAGTGCTGGGTAAAGAATTGGAGACAATTATCTTAGAGGTCTTTTCCAGCCTTAATAATTCCATGAGTGATGAGACATGTGCAGTCCCAGCCATCCATCTCAGCAGCTACACATCCCACAAATAACCCAGTACCCCCTAAAAAAGTACCCTACCCTTATCTCCATTTTTCTGGGTTTTGGGATGGAAGAGCCCATCAATCCTAGCAGCTACACATTGCACAAATAACCTAGTACCCCCTAAACAAACACCTCACCCTTATTTCAGTTTTTTTGGGATTGAGCATTTGGGACTGGGGATGGGAGATCCCATCCATCCCAGAGGCTACACATCCCACAAATAACCCAGTACCTCTCTAAACAAACACCTCACCCTTATTTCCATTTTTGGGGGATTTGGGATGGGAGATCCCATCCATCTTAGCAGCTACACACCCCACAAATAACCTAGTACCCCCTAAACAAACACTTCATACTTATTTCCATTTTTTTCTGGGATTTGGGATGGGAGATCCCATCCATCCAGCCATGGGACACAGAGTCCCTGCACCTGCAGGCTGGGCAAAGCTTTGCTGACACACCTGAGGCCAGAGAGGAAGAGGAAGGTCCCTGTGCTGCAGCTTTCCAGGGGATTTTCAGGAATTCACTCTCCTAGGCTGTCAATCTTGCACCTTTTTAAGCAGCACTGAACTGGCTTTCTAAGGGAGTAAAGTGATTTCTCATTTCACTGATAACCTGGACTCTGACTGGAAATAAAAGCCCTAAATGGAAAATCCTGACATTAAAGCTTCAAGCCCAACGTGCAAAGACTCAATCCGGCTAAATCAGTAAATTCCCTCACGGTAATTAAAGGCACTAATTGATTTGTGAAAACATCTTTGGGATGGGAGCTGAAGTGGGGGGATTTACAACCCTGCTCCTAATCCCCAGGGACTCCAATCAGTCCAGTTTGACAGGGAAGCAGAGAGCTGCCTGGATGAATGAGGGGAGACTAAGATTTCTTATTTTGTATCTTTTCAAGGAAATACCAGTGCATTTAATGACCAATTTCTCCCTTCCTGAGGCCATTTCTCCAGGCTTCTGAGAGTTTGGGCATCACTTTGATGCTTTCCACAACCAGGGCAAATGCTGCTCTCAGGCACCTTCATGTGAACCCTGTGAATTCACCAAAGCAGCATCAAGGGGGTGAGGAGAAAAAGGGATCCCTAACGAGGAGAAAGGCTCTTGGATGGGGCAGGGAGCAGGGCTCCCTTTGTGTTTCATCTCAGGACAGAGCCCTGGGGCTTTCAGGCACCATGGCCAAGCAGGCAGAGCTTAGTCCTGAGGCATCAAGGCCATGAAGGGTGTGGGAAATGTAGAAATTTCAATTCCATTAAAGCTGTGTGAAATATAGGAATTTCAAATCCATGAGGACTGTGGGAAATGTGGGAATTTCAAGTCCGTGAAGGCTGTGGAAATTGTAGGAATTTCAAGTCCATGAGAGTTATGAAAAATGTAGAAATTTCAAGTCCATGAAGGCTGGGAGAAATATAGGAATTTCAAGTCCAGGAAGGCTGTGGGAAATATAGGAATTTCAAGTCCATGAGGACTGGGGGAAATGCAGAAATTTCAAGTCCATGAGAATTATGAAAAATGTAAAATTTCAAGTCCATGAAGGCTGTGAAAATTGTAGGAATTTCAAGTCCATGAAGACTATGAAAAATATAAAATCTCAAGTCCATGAAGGCTGTGGGAAATGTGGAAATTTCAAGTCCACAAGGACTATGAAAAATGTAAAATCTCAAGTCCATGAAGGCTGTGGGAATTGCAGGAATTTCAAGTCAATGAGAGTTATAAAAAATGTAGAAATTTCAAGTCCTTGAAGGCTGTAAGAAATACAGGAATTTCAAGTCCATATAGGCTGTGGGAAAGGCAGGAATTGCAGCTTACAAACTGTGAGAGAATGAAATGGTTCTTGGCTTAAATATTGATAAAATCATGGAAAGGCTTTTTCCCACTGTAGGAAACTGCAAAGAAGCAGCTGCTCATCGGTGAACACTGAAGCCATCCCTGCCCAAATACACCTATAAACAGAATTTGGAGTGTGGAGGGAACTTGGGATAAGACAAATGTGATACAATTGTCCAGTCCTCCCAGGTCTAGGGAGAAGAATGTGATTCTAGAGGAGACACTGGGATGCTCAAACACTCAGGGGAAGCTGCCATGGGCAAAGCACCCACCCAGGTGCCAGGGCCAGCTCAGCCCAGCTCAGCTGCAGCTGGTGTGGGACCAGATAAGGAAAGAGCCAACCCTGGGAGGAGGAAGTTTGTCCTTATCAAGTGTGATGCCTTGAGAAGGCTGAGCTAGGACAGAGGCTGGGCAGAGTCACAGAATAAAGTAGGGATTTATGGAAAGGATCCCTCCATGGATGCACCAGAGCCCAGCCAGGGCTGCACCCAAGATAACCAAAATGGCCCCAAAATGCACGAGCGCTCCCGGGGTCTCTCCCTGGGATCAGTTCTGCTCCATTTGCCCTTTGCAGTTCATTGTCCCATTCCAGCTTCAGCCCAGGCAGTCCCACCCTGCTTGTTTTTCTCTCTGCAGCCCATGGGGTTTGTGCTCCTGGGCTGAGATTTGGGGCATTTGTCCTTGGTGCCCAGCTGGAGCAGGAATTGTTTTGTCTCCCTGCTCTGTGCACAGAGCTCACCATCCCATAATGTGAAGCCCAGACCCACACACTAAAGCAGCACAGAATGGGAAAAATATAAAAGCTAAACTCTGATGGAGTGAACTGGGCTGGTGCAAGAGGCAGCTGTGTTGACTTTGAAGGTGTCAAAAACTCATGATCCACCACATTCCATCATCCAGGTGTCCCTGATCCACAGCTTTCCATCATCCAGTGGGAAACTCCCTGCCAGGTGTTCCACCTGAGTATAAACCCAACAGAGGTTGTGTTCTGGGAATTTTCTTCATCGTTTCTTTGGGATGCCCCTTGTCCTCTGATGCATCCAGTCTGTGACCATCACTTCAACTGACAGACATCAAAAATTGCAATGACCAAGTTCTGTGGAGCCTATGAGTGGTGCAATCTTTCTACTCTCATCCTTTCCTTTTCTTCCTCATGCTTTTTCTTATGTGGTATTTTTAGGCTTTTGTAGTTTCATATTGCTGGAGATAATAACAACCAAAATGGCTTTGTAGCTGCTTTCCCTTAAAACCAAATTGTTCTAAAATAAACCTATATATATAATATATAAATTTACATACATATAATATATATCTATATGTATATCTGTATCTATATATCTATATATTTATATATCTATATATCTATACATATATATATATTTACATATCTATTATATTATACAAACACTAATCGTTCAGTGTCATTTCACTCTAATACACCCTGAGGGATCTATTGGGTCTGGAAAGTTTCACTGCACAAATTCTTGGTGGACACAATCCTTGGAAATAATTATTCTACACCAAGGGCAAAAGTTATCAGGGCAATGCTCCTTTAAAAAACCATGGGAGTTGGGAGAAGGGTTTTCTTGGGATTCTCACCTGAAGATGCTCCACTCAGGCTCAATCCTCAGGATGGTGGGATCCTCTACATATTCATAGTGCAGCTCCTGGTGGATCTTGGCCTTGTCCACTCTCACAGACACCTTCACCTTCTCAAAGCCTTCATAGGAGGCCGTGGTGTTACAGACAATGTGCTTGGTGGATCTCCTGGGAGGAGGAGAAAGTAAATGTGAACCAGCAGCAAAATGGTGCCAAAAAGAGCCCAATTATTTATTCTTATGTCCTGTGGCCCAAACCTGTGCACTGTAGAGGTGGAACTCAGTGTGAACCATTTGTGTTCCTGTAACAGCGTCTGGGGAAATGGCATTGCCTTTTTGCTGGTTTAAATAAAACCACAAGAGCCCTCATCTCTCAGGACTCAGAGTAATATCTGAACCCCAAGGGCAGTCCAAAGGAGGCCTCTCTGCAGAAGTATTTCTCTGTGAATAAACAGTTGATGGATGTTTCCTTCCTGCCTGCAGACATGTGCAGCAGCAGCTCGTAAAAGGGGTGTTTGCACCTCAGCTTTGCAGCCTGGGATCATAAAGTTTGCTTTGCATTAGGACTGTAAGTCTTGTTTTAAGTGCAGTTTGCAGCATGCCTGGGACCTCTGGAAGTGCTAATACAGTGGGAAGCATTTTATGATTAAAGAGGATTCTGCATAAACCTTTCCTTTTTGGCAGGGCTCAAACCCAGCTCCAGGTCTGCGTTCCTTTCAAAATGAGTCAAAAATCTGGGCACCAAACATTCTCAGACTTCCCAGTCCTGTGATTTGTGATGCAGCCCATCTTATACCCCTAAAATGGGGTTGTAAGCCACCTCCAATGACTGCACCCTCCAGATGCCCTGCAAATTCCCCCAAAAGACAGTGCTCAATCCCTCCTAAAATTCCCCAGCCTTCAGTGAGCATTTCCAAGCAGCTGTGGTTCCCACTTGGCATTTCAAATCACAGCCTGTGACTTCACCCTGCTGAATTTTGGATGCTGGATCACTCCACAGCCATGACAGGCTGCTAAAGAGGATCCCCACAGCCAGGAGAGGGAAGGGCATTGCCCCAGGGCAGTGCTCCCAGGTCTCCTGTGAATGAGCTTTTCCTCTGCCAAGGACATATTTGGGAGAAATGTGCCAACTTCATCTTCAGCCCCCATCTCTACTGGCAGCAAAATGTGTTGCTCTGGGTAGTTTGGAGCTGCAGGAGCCCCTGGGAATGAGATTCAGGCTCATTCTCACAGGGATCAGGGAACATCCAGCAGGTAACACTGACATTAAGCCTCTCTGAAGCGCCATTGAGCAGGAGCCAACACGGAGCTGAAATGTTGCAAATCATCCATTTCTTAGCACTACAGGACTATTCTGGGATAAAAGGGAGGTGGTTTAGTACTTCGAACTGATGTTGTCAGATTTTCTTTGTCACCTCCACTAAAGCAGGGACATGAAAATGAATCTTTTAAACGACGCACTCCCAGAGCAAGTAGCAGAGCGCAGGACCGTGGAGAATTGTACTGAAATCTGACAAGAGGCCACGGGAAAAAGCACATCAAATACTAGTCAAAACAATGAAATAAATCCTATTTTCTTTCCCCAAAAACATGGCCAGCAAGGCTGTGCATGGTGCAGAATGCACAAGTCCTGTTGCAGCAAAGGAGGTGCTTGAGGGACAAGGTGTCAGGGCTGCAGGAGAAGTTTCCTCACTTTAGCTGGCATTTAATCTTTTACACTCAGGCATGAGCAGCAGGGAGGGCTCATCTGTACCTGTAGAAGAGGCAGGGTTGTCTCCCAAAGGTCACAATGACATTGCTGCCAGCGTTGAGGTTGTTGCCTGTGATTGTCACCTGGGTGCCACCCGACACTGGTCCTCGCTTTGGCTTCAGGTCAGAGAGGGTCAGAGTCTGTGGAGGCAAAGGGAGGTGTTAGAGACACAGCACAGGGACCTTCCCTCTCCTGTTAGTGCTGGAGAGAGGGAGGCACCCCCAAGGATTAATCTGGGTAATTCTGAAGTTGGCCACATCTGGCTGATAAAGGAGCCTGGAGTGACACCAGAGCTGTCAGAGACTCCCTGCTCGAATGCCAGGTTGGTGGGATGAGTTCAGACCCAACCCCAGTCTGCTTTCACTCCTCCAAAATGAGCTCTGCCCTTGTACCCACTCAGAAATAATCCTACAAGGACAGGCCCGTTCCTGGAGCACCTTGGAGTGCACATCTCCACTGCTTGTTTGGCACAGCCCAGGGCTCTTTTTGCTGTCACACACCACCAGCTCTGCAGGATAACTCAGGCAGTGAACTGGTTTGATTGCATCTTAATGGAGAACCTCTACCTCCAAACTGTGAAACTCACAAGTGATGAAAATTGTTTGATTGTGAGAAGATCACTCAGCTTTATTGATTCTCAGAATCACAGGATAGTTTGGGTGAGAAGGGACCTTAAAGATCAGCCAGTCCCACCCCAGCCATGGTCAGGGACACTTTCCACTATCCCAGAGTGCTCCAATATTCCTGTCCAGCCTGGCCTTGGACACTGCCAGGGATGAGGCACAGCTTCTTTGGCTTCACCACCCTCACAGGGAACAACTCCATCCCAATATTCCATCTGACCCTGCCCTCTGGCAGGGAGAAGCCATTCCCCCTTGGATTGAGGAGAGCTCAGCAGAACATCAGAGTGTGCTCTTGCCTCTCCCACACAGGATCCCAGAATCACTCCAAGGTCACCTAAGTCCAGCCTGTGACCCATCCCCACCCTGACAACCACAACAGAGCTCATTCTTTGAACACCTCTCTAGGGATGGGACTCCATCACCTCCTGGTGCAATTCTAATGTCCAACAACCCTTTCCATGAAGAAATTCCTCCTGATGTCCAACGTGGACCTGCCCTGGTGCAAAATGCTCACACACGACCCTAAATCTTTCTCTTTTCTGGCCTGGATGTTGAGGCAGCCTTGAGCTGTCCTTCAGTGAGACATGGTGGGGGTTCTCTGAAATGCCAGAGCCTCAGAAGCAGCACTGCCCCTTGAACACCTTTTCCCTTTTCCTGCTGATTTTCTGAGCCTCTTTTCCCAGCCTAACACAGCGTTGTGTTAATATATCAAAAAGGGCCACAATTCCTTTAGAGGCCCCAAATCTCAAAACTCTTTTTCTTACCTTGCCACCCTCCCTTCTTCCCCAAATCAAGATAAAATACTCGCGCTCTGAAGGCACAGATCACCCTGTTACCACAATGCAGAGAGGAGACATCAATATTCAGGGAGAAATTTGGTGTTACAGTTTATTCTTTCATTTGCATTTTAATAGAAAAACTTTCCATTCAGTCCCAAGTGAAAAGCTACTATATGCATTTAAATGAAGATTATTTCTTTCCCCCTCTCTTTAAGAATGATGACACAAGTGCTTGAAGCTCTCAGCTCCTCTGAGCGAGCAGGTACATCATGCAGTCACCTTATTGAGCTTTGGAGACCATTAATCCATGTTTATAAAACCACCTGACACACACCACAGCTCCCACTCTCACACACACAGAGCCACCTCTGTTCCCAGGCCCCTCTGGTTTAATCATTTTGAAAAACAGCGGCAAGATTTCCATTTTTCCATTTTGCTCCTGTTCTAAATGCAGCTCTTGGAGGAAGGGCAGAACATGAAAACCAGACTTACAGCTCTGTAGAAGGATCTGCTGTCAGAGCTGGGCACTTTCTGTGTTTAAACCTGGCTGGTTTTCACCTGATGGTTTGGAAGCTGGTTTTATACTTAGAATCGTGGAATTTTTGAGGTTTTTGAAGGACCCCTATGATCTGCCAAGTCCAGGCTTTAACCCACAACTAAAGCACAAGGTTCCCCCTGAGCCTCCTTTGCTTCAGGCTCAGACCCTTCCCAGCTCCCTCAGCCCCTCCTGGTTCTCCAGACCCTTCCCAGCTCCCTCAGCCCCTCCTGGTTCTCCAGGCCCTTCCCAGCTCCCTCAGCCCCTCCTGGTTCTCCAGACCCTTCCCAGCTCCCTCAGCCCCTCCTGGTTCTCCAGGCCCTTCCCATCTCCCTCAGCCATTCCTGGTGCTCCAGACCCTTCCCCAGCTCTGTTCTCTTTCCTGAGGAGCTCAAAATCCAGGATTTGAGGTGGGGTCTCAGCAGTGCCAGCACAGTGGGGTGGGCACTGCCCTGCTCCTGCTGGCCATACTATTCCTGATACAACCCAGGTGCCATTGGCTTCTTGGTCACCAGGACACACCTGGCCTCATGTTCAGCCACAGGTCCTTTTCCACTGGGCAGCATTCCAACCATTCTCCAAGCCTGGAGTCTGATTTTCTGGGAATATTCTCTATCATTCTCTTTTAAGGGAATAAAAAAACACAGGAAGAGTATGGAAATGCAAAGGATGCACTTCAGTACTGCTCATTTATATTTTGGGTACCCACTCAAGCTCTGATGGCAGCTCCCTTAATGATGGACACCCCCACCAGTACAAATTCCCACTGACCTTGATGGCTGGCAGAAAATGGGTTGGGAATGGCCAACCAGGTGCCCAAAACCCACACAGCACCACTGCAGCAGTATCTGATTCAAAAATCATAGAGAACATCCGAGTTAAAGACCCAGAAGAGCTTTGTCCCACCCCTGGGTGGGTTCCCTGCCCTCTCCTTGGGGTAGATAAAGCAGCCATGGCATTTTGAGGATCCTCAAAGGCCACAGCCACACCAGGAAGGCTCCTTGGCAAAGCCCTGCTGTGCCTGGAGCCAATCTTACAAATGGGTTTGTGGTTCAGCTTTCAAAGGTGTGATCAGCCTTAAATTATTCACAGTGGCCTTCCTGAATATTGCACAGCACATTCACAGCAAAACTCTAAACTATTCACCATTTCCTCACCGGTGGAAGGTGGTAGAAAATGCAAAGAGAGTGTGGATAGGCTGGAGAGTGACAACGAGGGAAAGAGGACATGAAATTTTCTGCATTTTTTAGGATTTTATCTACTTTCCTCAGCTTCCCAACCCTTTCTTTCCTCCAGCATCTCCTGCACACAGGTTTTCCACAGAGAAGCACCATCAGAGGTGGGTCTAAACTGTCCCCCATGGAGCTTGTCAGAACCTTGGCTCCCATTCCACTCCTCCTGGGAACAAGGAAGAGCAAGCTATGACTCAAACACAACATGTGCACCTGAGTTTCCTTCCTAGAGGTTCCACAGTAGCAACAAGAGGGGAAAAGATGAAAAGGATGGATGGGAAATGCTCCCCAAAACAAGGATTTTAGGAAGAAATGTGGAGCAGCCTACAACATCTGCACTGAGACACAATATTTTCATCTAAACCCAGAATAAAGATAAATATTCTTCAGTAAATGTAACATTTTTTTCATTGAAAGACTGGGGCAATAATTACAGCAAGAAAATGAATAACTAAAAAAAATATATTTCATTTAGATCATCATAAATTTCATTTCAGCTTTGTTTCCCTCTTGGCTTATTGTACTTTCTAATGCAATTTGCAGGTTTTGATCACAGACGAGTTTAAAACAAACGAGCAGCTATTTGAATTTAAAAGTTCTTGTTAGAAAAGTGGAGAAGAACCATTCTGGCATCTCTAAACTAAGCCACCTCTTTCTTAAAACACTGAAATTAAATACTCATCTGAGCCCAAACCATCATCTCTTTGAATTCCTGCAAGACAGGGAAAGGCTGAACCAATTGGCCAACTCCAACCCAGTTTTCCTTCAAACCTCTCGAAAACCAATTTTCCAGAAGATTTGCTATGAGTCAAGAAGTGACATTTATCTCCCAGGTGCTGCCCTTCCTTGCTTTTCAAACATCTTCTTTCCCTTCAAGCTGCCACGCACCGCTGCAGGATGCCAAGGCGCGTTGAGATTCCTGCAGCAGCATCTCTGCCCTCCTGGCAGAAAAAACCCAAGGAAGCCAAAAAAACACAGCTCCTACTGTGAAAGCAGCGGACACGCGAGAGGGAATATGATGGGCAGGCTGGAGAGTGCCTGTATTTTGGGTTTTTTTTGTTTAGCACAAAGGTATGGAGGTACTGAGCAGAGAAAAACCTCGGTGGCTTCGTGCTCGTGCCCTGGCAGCCGGGAAGGCGGCAAGCGGAGGGAAAAGCTGTCACAGATGGACACGGATGATCAAAAGCAGACAGTAATTCCAGGAGTAGCAAAAGGTGACACGTTGAAGTGTAATGTCCTGGAAAGAGCCCTTCTGGCTGCCTGGTAGGGGCTTTCTCTCAAGGTGTTTCTGTGCCCCCGCCACCGCAACACCTGAGTGACACCGGGAGATGCAGAGAACAGAGGAATTTCTGTAGCTCGAGGGGGGAATCCAAGACATTTGCATTCATTACAAGTTCCCTTTACCATAAAGAAATGCTCAGGCATGTGAATAATTTCAGAAGAGACCCATTCTCTTGCAAGAGCTGAGAGCTTTTGATGGGAACAAAGGGACCCTCTCATCTCAAACCTGCACAGATCTGAACAGATCAAGGCCAGACAATGCTTGCATGTCCCCAGCAAGGGGCCTTAGAGGAATAATCAGGTCTCTTGGACAAGGAACATCATCAGAAGGGAGGAATAAAGCACAGGTTGAGTGTACAACATGTGTTTGCACTTGAACTGAAGCTGAAGCTTGCAGGTGTCTCTTGTTTCATCACGGAGCATCCAAAACCAGCACTGAGCCCCAGTCACATCCTACAGCACACCAGCAGCCTGAGCTGGGTCTGTCCTGATCCCAGTGCTCCTGGGATGAATAAACACCTGGGGGAATCCAGGAGGGAGGAGAAAGAAACCCTATCAAGACCATCACACTCATGCTGCTGAAGATCCCGGGGTTGTAATGAGTAGTGACAGCCCCCAAGTTTCTTCTGGACAACACTGGTGGCTCCAAGCAGAGGTGTTGGTAGCAGGAGCATCATACCCAAAAAAACAAAAGATACTAGGGAAATTTTCCTCTTTTTAGCTCCTTTTTATTCTTTCCTGTACAGCACTTTTAACTATTAATGAGAATTTTCTGTATTAATTTGGACCGTGACTGCATGGAATTGTAACTGGACTAATAATCTGGACTATTATTAGGTTGTTAAAACTTTAATTAGACCAGCTATTTTTGCTGGGAACAAGATGTTGAAAGGAAATGGAATGAACAATCTGGTGCACCGGAACGGCAGCAAAGAGCTCGGAGGCTCAACGTGGTGAAGGACAATGGACAGAGGGAGCAAAGAGAAGCAAGGCCAAGGAGTTCAGGGCCAAGGAGAACTTTTTCAGGAACTTACCATGAAGTAGTAGAGCTGAGAAGACCTGGCCATGAATTCGGGCTTGCACTCGGCCACGCAGATTTCCACGAATCCGGCGTGCTGGCTGGGCTTGGCCTCTCCCATCTCACACACGATCCTGAGAGGGAAACACCAAGCAGGAGCAGAGTTTGAGGAGTGGTTTTGGTAAGATGGAGTTGCAGCTAAGAGCCCTCAATGCTGGGGGATGGACTGAAGATGAATTCACCCTTTTCTGTCCCATCCAGAACCAAAATTGTGGATGAAGTTATTCTTTAGAAAGTAGTGGCTTCTGGCTGGGACAAGTGCTGAGGTGGTGTAAATCCACTGAAATACACAGAGAAATGTTGGGCTGAGGTCTGGCTCCATCCCTCTCAGCTCCAGCCTGGTGTGGTGGAGGCAGCTCTAAGGTTTAATGATCACTCCTGCATTTAGCAAGAGGCTTTTCAGGAATTGAACAGCTTGGGGTGACTTCTTGGTGAAAACCAGGATAACTTCAGGGCATTTGCCATGAGGATCACCTAAACATGCAATCCAAACACAGTAATAACTGGGTTATGAAATAAATAGATTATCCTGAGCTGTACATGAGCAATGGCTTCTTCATCCCTCAATTCCCAAGTCGGAATGGATCCCTTGGAAGGCCCCCGTAGGTAGGAACGTCATTAGGTGTGCTGTGGCCTTTGCTGTGCCACACACCCCACTTACTGCTCTGCTGGGATGTACCCTTCCACCAGGGGCTTGCACTCCACGCCGGCCACTTTGACGTGGGAGGCGATATCCCGGAATTCCAGCCCCAGGTTCTCCCCACGGATGGTCACTCTAGTGCCTCCCTCACGAGGACCCGTCACGGGGTTGATCTGGGGAAACAAGCCAAGAGAAAGGAGAACGATCAAAGCAGGCACTAGAATCCTGGCTGTGGCATTCACATTTTCTGGAAAAATTCCTTCACCTGGGATTTTTCTCCTGGGAAGCTGAGAAGCCTCAGAGAAAAAGGAAAACAATATTATCTCATTTGCTTCTCCTGTGTTTTGCTCATGCGGAATGTGTTTGGAGGTTGTTTACCCACAGGTGATTGTTTTTTTGGATTCTGGTGTGAGTTGTTTTCGCTCTTTGGCCAATCAGTGCCAAGCTGTGCTGAGACTCTGAAGAGAGTAATGGATTTTCATTATTATCTTTTAGCCTTCTGTCTGTATCCTTTCTGTATTCTTTTGTATAGTATAGTTTAGCATTCTTTAATATAATATAGTATCATAAAATAATAAATTAGCCTTCTGAGAACATGGAGTCAGATTCATCATTCTTTCCTTCATCTGGGGGCAACACAAATACAAAACCTGTCAAGTGAAAGAACAGACAACTTTTGGGGATCGCTAGGGACACTTATAAATGCTGAACAAACCTACTTCAGATACACAGAATATGCAAAATTCTGCTCCAGAACTCATTTACTCTCTTTTAACTACTTGCAAAACATCCAAAGGTGAGTTGAAGATTTTTTTTGTGGGGATTTATGGAGCTGCAGCTGTAGCTTACAGCTACTTTGTAGATGTAAGCCATGGAAAGGCAGCAGAGGGACACGGTGGAGAGAAATGGGAGAAAGGACGAGACAAGGACATAAAGGGTTGTGCCAGTCACTTGAAATCCAAAATTCCCAGCCCAAAGCACATGGAGGTAATGGTCATGCAGCAGAAATTCAGCTGAAAATGTCCACCTGAAAAAAAAACAGCCAAGCCACAGCAGGAACAGGGTGTTGGGTTAGGTGTGGAGGAGGTGGATGGTGACTGAGACAGCAGCAGCAGCTGCTCTGTGCCAACATCTCCTCCTGAAAGAGCTCCAGTTTCCCTCCTGGTAGAGCTGGGGCCATTGGAAGGGCAAGCAGGGAGCATGGACAGATTATTTGTGGAGCCTCTGGGTCTGAGCATGAGAGGAGCAACCATCCCAACCAGCCTGGGGGCTGCTGGAATGGCATTTGCATGCCAGCCTGGCCCTGCACCAGACCCTCACAGGGCCTTGCTCCATCCCCCTTGTCCAGAGCCAGGTGGGAATCGGGCACTGGAACTGTCTCCTGAGCATTGGAACAACACCAGAATCACAGGGCTGGCCCTTAATTATCTCCATCCTGCCCTTCCAACTCCTCACTATGCCCACTTTGCCATGCCATTGCCCACTTGAGAAGGGTTCAAACACTTCCCTTGCAGGGTGTTCCCTGCTGCCTGCTCAGGATGCCATGGCTGCCATCTGCCAGGGCTGGCACAGCTCTCCCTGCAGTGAGCAAAGGGGAATTCCCTGTCTCATGGCCATTCCCACCTGCCCTGGCTCTGCCAGGTGGGAATCTGGGGCTGGCAGCCATGCCCTGCTGCTCCCAGCACCCAGCCTGGCACCAGGGTTGGTGTGATTCCCACCCAAAAGGTGAATTTTAGAAGGGCCAACCTTTAATAACAGGAGGGAGAGCCAGGCACCTCTAGGGGATATTTAATTTCAAGATATTAACTTTAGGATATTAATTTTAGGTGTTGTGAACCAACTCCTCAGTGAGTGTGAGTTATCTCTGACTCTAAAGGGAACCAGGAGGTGTTTGTGGTGGTTTGACAGGAAAGAAAAAAGAAAGGGAAAGAGGAAAGGGAAAGGGAAGGCGAGAGGGAAAGGGAAAGGGAAAGGGAAAGGGAAAGGGAAAAAGGAAAGGGGAAAGGGAAGGAAAAAGGGAAAGGGAAAGAGAAAGGGAAAGAGGAAAGGGCAAAGGGAAAGAGAAAGGGAAAGGGAAAGAGAAAGGGAAAAAGGAAAGGGGAAAGGGAAGGAAAAAGGGAAAGGGAAAGGAGAAAGGGGAAGGGAAAAGGGAAAGGTAAAGGGAAAGGGGAAAAGGAGAGGGAAAGGGCCATGGAAAGGGAAAGGGCAATGGAAAGGGAAAGGAAAAGATAAAGGGAAAGGGAAAGGGAAAGGGAAAGGGAAAGGGAAAGGGAAAGGCAAAAAGGAAAAGGAAAAGGAAAGGAAAAGGGGAGAGGGAGAGCTGTCTAAAGCACAAGATTTCAAAAACTTCTTGCTGTGACTCAAAAAGCATCAACAGGAAACTTCCTAGAGCAAAGCCAACAAGGCACCACAGAATCCTTCCCTGGGCAATATTTAATTTTTGAAGGCCAGCTTCAAAACCCACTTATTTCCTTAAAAACCACTTATTTCCTTAAATCAGGAGGGCCTGGGGTTCTCCCAGGGTCACATGGAAGATTTTTAAACCCTATTTCACAGCTCTGGCATAGATTCCACCAAGAGGAAGGTGCTGCCAGGTTGTTTTCACAGCAGGAGAGGAGAAGCCTGTTCTATCACAGGTGGAAAATGTGGCACGAGACCTGTCAGATTTGGAGAGGAAAACCCAGGCAGGGAAACAAAAGCTGCCAGGAAGCCTCAGCTTCCTCTGGAAGACCCAGAGCTGCATCTCAATTTCCAGTCTGTGCTCACATCAACTGCTGCTTGTCACTCCTAAAGGAGTTTTTTGTGGCTCAGCGAGTCTCTGAGTCCCTTAATTTCCCTGTGTGGCTCTGTAAATGCCAGGGCTGGTACAGAAATGGGGGGATCAGTGCTGCAGGGGGTGTGAGTGCCCCTACAAGTGTGAGTACACGTGTTCTTCCCTGCAGAGACCCAGCCCTGGCTCCTCTCCAGGCTCTGGATGCTCCCACCCCACAGCTCCAGACCTACCATTAGCTGCAATATATATCCAGTCACTTGAGATTACTTCCATGCTAATGGCTCAGAAAAAAGGCCTTCCAAGAGCTACTTAAGGCTTGCAGCAGGCAGCTGGAATATTTCATGAGTGAGTGTTGCAATGATCTGTTTGAGCTCAGAGAGCTGTTGGAGGAAGTGCCAGCAGAATTTGAAGCACTCTGGAGCTGTAGGGTGGAGAATGAGGGGTTTGCTCTGCAAAATGAGGCTGGAGATGAAGGAATAGGGTTAAAGCATGGCAGGGAAATGTGGGTGAACCTTCTGCACACCCACGTCCTTGTGTTTTGGATTTCTGCTTTAGCTGATCATCCATCAGCTGCCCCATACCAAATTCTATCATTGTTTCACAGGGTCTGAGAATCTGAAAATATTTTTAAAATATTTCCCCCAGCTCCAAGTGATTTTCAAGAACTCAAAATTGAATTTTCAGTTGATTTTATCTGTTCTTTCTGGATGTCTGGGTTTGATTTCACAGCTTCAGGTGCTTCAGGTGGGGTCAGAATTACTACTCTGAGATAAATCCAAGTAAAGTAGAGACCTTCACCTTGGAAACACCAGAATGAGCCATAAACATCAGAATAAACTGAACTCCAACAGTTCAACTGAGAGAGAGCTTTGAAAGCTGGTGAATGACAGGGAGATGGCTCAAAACACAGGAAAAAGGGTTATTTTCAGTAACATCTAGGAAAAACAGATTCAACCCAGCCTTTGCTCTCCCCAAATGTTCAAGATATTGGTTTAGGGCTCTTCCATAACACCCACACTTTTTGAATCTGAATCAAATGCAACTTTAAAAAGCTTTTCTTGCTTTCTAGGAAAATAACCCACCTAACTATTCCTATTAAAGCACCACTGTGGAGGCTGGATTTTCCTCTTTTGCATTTCCCCATTTTTTCCCTGTTTCATTTCCCTCCTGATTTTGCCATTTATAAATCAGGCCCTGGCCACATTGTTGAATAAGGCCTGGTGACTGAGAGGTGCAGGAGGCAGCTGGAAGGCATGGAACCCTCATTTTCTAAGCTTAGGTCTGTCCTGCTGCCAGTCCTCTGACTCTGAAAACTTTCCTGGCATTATGGCAAAGGCATCCTAAGACAGCAGAAAAAAATCCCTTTAGATTTCAGGCCTGACTTGCCTCCCCTGCTTTGTCTCCCTTCTTCTGCTCCTTGTCTTTATGGTCTTCCTATTCTCTCATTTCCTTTTTGAACATTTCCTTTGGCCTAGTCAACAGGGAACTCTAACAAACTAAAAATGGAGCCCCATCTCTCTCTCTACAAGGCCTTTTAAGGATAAGCTATCCAATTAAGACATGACACCTAAATGATTTTCACTTTTAACCCAATAACCAACCACCCATGCCCTGCAATATGGACTTTTTTATCCAATTACACAAAACCACCCAAACCCACGGAGAAGAAGGTGAAGAAGAAGGACCAGCCACTGCCCCAAAACCTCCATCTTGCTTTATAGATATTACTGTATTCTAAACCCTTAAACTCTGAGTTTCCCACCCTGTGATATCACACACTTCTATCCAAACTGCACACCCACAATCCCAGTTCCATCATTCCATTCTGGAAGCTTCTCCAGGGCCTAAGATCAAAGCAATGTTCTCTTGGGGGTCAGTGCCTGCCAGCACAGAAAGTGGAAAATTCTCATCAGCCAGAGTTCCAACACCCAAGGTCACCCCTGGGTTGTAAAAAAAATTTTGGTAAAAATTTTGTAAAAATTTTCTTCCTGCCTTTGAAGCCACCATGGCCTCACACTCCCAGAGTGCCTGAGGCTTTTCCTGACCCATCAGAACTCACTCCTGACCTCCCCATCCCCAACCCAAGCCCAAATCAGGAAAACAAACCAAAGAAAGGGAATCTCCCAGCTTCTGGCAGATCCACGACTTACATCCGTGATCTTGGGGTTGGTGCACTTGCCCTTGGTGCTGGAGAGTTCCAGCCACTGGCTGTCCTGGGCTGGGCAGTGCTGCTTCAGTGTGCACTGGTTCTGCCCCTGGCACCAGCCGCACTCGAAGTCGGGGTCGGCTTTCAGGCAGAGTCCGCAGCTGTCCCGCATGGCCCCGCACTTGTACAGGTGAACTGCAGGGACAGCAAACACACACGGGGCCTGAGAGAGGCAGGCAGCTCAGGGGAGGGTGGGATGGCAGTGGGAGAAAGAGGGGAAAGTGTTCTGGGCTGCTCGTGCCAGAGGCAGGACGGAAACTCTCCAGGGAGGTGAGTAATGGGGCGAAAAACATGGACATCCTCCTTGAAATAAAGTTCATTACTTCATTCTTCATCAATGGTGTTTTTGGAAACTGAGAGCAGGAGGAATGAGGTATGGGAGAGGAAGAGGTATGAAGAGGAAGATGTATGGGAGAGGAAGGGATATGGGAGAGGGAGAGGTATGAAGAGGAAGAGGTACGGGAGAGGAAGAGGTATGGGAGAGGTAGAGGTATGGGAGAGGAAGAGGTATGAAGAGGAAGAGATATGGGAGAGGAAGAGGTATGGGAGAGGGAGAAGTATGAAGAGGAAGATGTATGGGAGAGGAAGAGGTATGAAGAGGAACAGATATGAAAGAGGAAGAGGTATGGGGAGGAAAAGATTTGGGAGCAGAAGGTAAGGTGAGGGTCTACAAGCAAGAGGTTGGAGGAAATTATGCCTGGGCAGTGATTTGGCCTCGGTCCCTTCCTTTCTCACGGACTAAATGTCATAAAGTGTCACCAACAACCAGCCTCAGACTCAGCACTTCATCCTAAAGGAATTTTCTAGACCTGGCCTGTCACTCTGGTTTTTTAAGATTTTCTAAGCCTTTAAGATTTTCTAAGCCTTCTGATGTTGACATTCTTGTAGCAAACTTTCTCACACACTTTCTGTAAATAACTCATTGTTTTGCATTCCTTTAAGGAGGAGGAGAAAGTTGATAGATTCTTAGTTTGACCAGTGTCATTGGAGAGATGGCACTGTCACCCTCCAATCCACTGTCACTCTTGGAAAACTATAAATGTTAGAGTCAGAAAATAAACTTCCCTTTTTCTTCACCTTGAGGACAGTGGTGTGTGTTTGTGGTTTTTTGTGTCCTATAGTGACACTGGCCAACCCACAGCTTAAACTTGGGTGTGAAACTCCCCAGGATTTTGTGTTCAGGTGATGCCACTCAGGTTTCCCACTTGACAGAAATCCCAAAAGGCAACAGTGAATACACAGTGGTTCATTATTAGGCTGATTCCAGGGATTCACAACCAGCCTTTACCTTTTCTTCTGCTCCAGAAATTCAGCCTGCTTCCCACTTTGAAGCAGAGTTGATTCCACTCTCATACAGACAGCAGTGATTAATGCTTAGCTCCATTTTGAGCTCTTAAGTGATTAGAAGCACTCTGAGGTTTTTCTAATAAAACCTAAAAATATTGAAGTCCTCCTACAAAATGAGATCATATTATTTATCCTTATTTTACAGATGTAGAAATGGAGGTCTGGCTTGCACAGGAGACTGATAGCAGGATTCTCCTCCTGGAAGATGAAGGTGACAGAACCAAGGCTCTCAGACTTTTTTCTTTCCTTCATTTGTGGGTATGTTGGGAAATTTTCCCTTTGTGCTTCTGTTTTGCTGTGTCTGTGGGTGACTAAAGTGGTTTTTATCTTTATACACAATCCCAGAGCTCAAAGGCTTTGGAAATATTTATGCTGAAAGGCTCTGTCTCCCCATACCTTCCCCCTTAATGTCAGCAAGTATTGGCCAATGCAAGAAAAACTCATAAACTCTTTACTTCTCCAGGCTGGGTGCAAGAACAGTACCTAAAAGTACCCCAAAAAGCCTGAAAAACATCTCACAAACACAGTGTTTTCCAGACCTCATGGAATACACCTCTTTCCTTAGCTTTCTGTGGGATTTCCTCAAATTTGCTGAGTTGTTCTACTTGAGCTGCTACCAGTGGGTATTTCTGTAGATAATTTAGCAGGTTTGGGTCAGTTTGGTGTTTGAACCTCCCAGCCCAGCCCATGGTGATGCTGGATGTGAAAGCAGTGGCATCTTTGTCGCCTCTGTGTGGCACTGCTTCCATGTGGTATCTCTATGGGCACATGCCTAAACTCTCCTCCTGACCAAAATCATGATGATATCCAAATTACTCATCTGGGAGAGCCACCAGCCAGTGCTGCTTCCCAGATTTTTTTCCTAGTCATTATTTGCAACATTTTAGCTTTGAATAACCCAAGAAAGTGCTAGAGATCATTCTTGAGTTCATCCCTGGCTCTGTTTTATGTTCCTGGCACAAAGAGTTCTAAAAATGATCATCATGATTATGAGATTTATTTTGCTCCACATCACCTAGATGCAGCCCAAGAAAAGGATTTAAATTTTGGGGTGGATCACTTTGTGTCAGGGGTGCTCATTTTATGGTAGCACAAAACTAAGCAGGACTGGGGCTAGTGTCCCGATTCTGACCTCCACCTACACTGTTAAAGGTTCTCCCAGTCCTTGGCACTCTTTGGGCCCATGGAAATCAGCAGTGTCCTGAAACATAGCTTGGAGAGAAGGAGACAACTTCAGAGCAGAGGCAGGGTGGCACTTTGAGCACAGGCTGTGCCTGAGTGCCAGGGCTGGGCAGGAATCTCCAGCCTGTTGTGTTGCTGAGTGGATTTAACCCTCAAAAGCCACAGTTTTGGGGTTTTGGTGCCAGATCTCTGCCGTTCAGAGGGGGAGAAGGGCAGATGGGGTTGTGCCATGGGGAGAAGAGTTGCCTTCTGTGTTGCTGTCCAAGTTGAACGTGCTGTTGGTGGGAACCTCACCCACCACCCCTTGGCATGAGGGTGGGTGTGTGTCCTAGATTGCCAAGTAATGTATATTCTATTTGCCATCTGTCAGAGGTGGGGCAGTTCTCTCTGTCCATGGGGCAGTTTTTTCTTTCTCTCTCCCACAGCCAACCCTCCCTCCAGGAGATCTCTGCTGTCCATGGCCACTGAGTGTCCCTGCAGGGCTGATCCAATCCCAGCATCCCATGGGGAGATGCTCCGCCCAGGGGAGGAGCCAAGCATTCCTACCTGGATTCAATCTGAGCTTTGGGACACCAGCACAGCCTTTCCACTGGATTCCCAGAGGAGCAGCTGCCACTTCCACTGGATCTTCAGAGGAGAAGTCCACCCTTTTCTACAGGATCCCTGCTCCAACAGAACCACACCTGGCACTCCAGGAGGGCTGCAGCCACAATTCCAATTGGACTCTACCAACACCCTGACCCACAGGGTGTCAGGTTGTGTTCTGATTCTGTCAGTGTTTTTTTATTTTACTGCATTGTTTATTTCATTTTTATTTTCTTCCCTAATAAAGAAATGTTATTCCTGCTCCCATATCTTTGCCTGAGAGCCCCCCTTCATTTCAAAATTATAACAATTTTGAGGAAGGGGATTTACATTTTCCATTTCAGGGGATGCTCCTGCCTTCCCTAGCAGACACCTGTCTTTCCAAACCAAGACAGTGTGGAACTGTGTGACAGCACCATGGCAGAACCTGCTGGGGACAGATTGAGTGGGAGAAGGTGTGGGAAGTGTCCACGACAAGGTAAAGAGAGGGAGGGAGACATTTCTGAGAGGTGATGATGTGAGAAGAAGAGAATCTGCAGGTGTGAGCTGCAAATGCAGGGCAGCCAAGGGGAGGGGTTGCCTGGGGGGAAGGTTCCAGGGTGGAAAGACAAGAAGGAAGAAGAAAATGTGGACAAACCATCCATCTCCAGAAACACCCAGGGTTGTGGCTGGATGTGCAGCCTCCTCTGAGAGGGGCACACCAAACCTGTGCCATCGATGGTGGTTAAACACAGGTGGTTTTCAGATCCTTTTTATCATCATTATCATCATTTCATTTTGCTCAGAATTCTCGCACTGGAGAGCTGCAGCCTTCCTGCTCCCCTCCTGCCTTCCCCTGCTCATTACTAAATTGCCTGTGAGCAGAGAGCCCGTTCTCCTGGCATGTTAACTTGAAGAGCATCACTGCAGGAGAAATAAAGAGGGGGAGAAAAAAAAAAACCTGGAGAGGGAGGGGCGTGAAAAGCAGACACGAGGATGCGGGGAGAAGCAGGGACGGTGAAGGGAGAGGGAGAGTGACACAAGTGGGAGGGAGAGCCGCGTTTCTCAGGTGGAATGAGAGAACTGGAGGGCTGGGGGGAGGCACACAAAGCACTCAGAAATTGGTAATTTGCAGAGTGCAGAGAACAAGTGTGCGGCAGCCAGCACGGGGAGACGGTGGCGGCTTTGTTAAGTGTAGGGAGCGAGGGCCCGTTGCTAAGGTTACTGCTTCCAAGGACAAGTTGAAATAACTCTTTACCTTTGTTCTGTGCTGGGTTGTCAATGTTGAAATTCCCGTTCCACACGACTGTCAGCTCCACTGGCAGGCTGTTAATCTCCATCCCTTCGTACGAGTACTAGAAGTGGGAGAGGAAAAACAAAACAAACCAAAAAAAAAATAAAATAAACCCCAAAGCCAGACCTAGAGAGTGTCTGGAGGTGGGGAGGGGATGAGAAAAGGAAAGAGGTGGTGCTGAGCATGGAGAACAAGAGAAATGGAGATGTCACTCACCTCCCTAACAGCAGCACCTGCCAGAATGCCATGGGATGCTCCCAAAGCTGTGGAGCTCCAACCATGCCCCTCACAAAAACCCATTTATCCATTAGATGAACATTCATAGAATGTCAGAATGGGGATGGAGGGGAGATTAAAGATCATCCAGTTCCAATCCCTGCCATGGCAGGGACACCTTCCTCTGTCCCAGGTTGCTCCAAGCCCTGTCCAACCGGACCTTGGACACTGCCAAGGGCAGCCACAGCTGCTCTGGGCAACCAGAGCCTCACAGCCAAGAATTCCTTCCTAATATCTGATCTGAACCTTTCTTCAACTTAGAGCCACTCCCTCTTGACCTATCAGTCAGAAAAATATTCCATGATCTAAGTGGGTTTGCACGTGATGGGCCTTAACTTTGAAATCCATTTTTTGGGTGTTGAGCACAGCTTTGAAAAGTATTTTTCCCAAGTTGGGAGCAACTTTAAGGTGTAAATCACACATTCTGGGTCTTCCATCCAGCTGTGCCTCTGCTGGGTATCCCATAGGTGCTGAGGGGGTAGGTGAGGTTATTTACACCAAGGATGTCCTGAAGAACTCTTGGAAGCTGAGTAAAGTCTCAAAATCAGGGAAATCCTCTGAAAAAGGGGGAAAATGGAGCCACTGTGTAATTATAGACCTGTCAGCCTAACTTGGCTTCCCAGAAAGAAAGAAAGTACATCAAATTATTAAACAATCAATTTATAAGCACCTGCGAGATGATAAGGTGATAAAAATCAGCCAGCACAGATTTGTCAAGAACAAATTGTGTCAACCCAATCTAATTTCCTTTTTGACAGGCTTAATGACTTTGTGGATAAAGGGGAGGCAGCAGATGTGATTTATCCTGATTTCAGGAGAGTGTTTGCTACTATCCTACAGCAGATCCCCATAAACAAACCAGGGAAATATGACCTAAGAAAGGCCACCATAAGGTTTATGCAAAAAAAAACATTAAACAAAACAAAACAAAAAAAATCAGATAATTCCTTTCAAGCTGGGAGGATGTTTCAAAAGGAATATTATCCTGAGTCTGGCATTACTCAGTATTTTCACTACTGACTTGGATGATTTCGTGACTGTTCTAGAGGGGCTGAAGAACCTCCAACAGCAGGGTTAAGAATTCAAAACAAACTTGACAAATTGTAGAACTAGGCCAAAATCAACCAAATGAAATTCAATGCTGGCAAATGGGGACTATTTTTTTCAGTTGGAGGAATTGATGCAAACTGCTCTGAAATTGGAGTGGCTGGGCAGTGCTGCAGGAGAGGGTCTGGGGACTGCTGGAGATCATGAACAGACTGTAAATCAACAATGCCATATTGCTGCCAAAACCCAAACAATTCTCCTTTGGGGATGGAGCAGATAGAGCTTGTTACATGTGTAAACCCCTGGAGGCAATCACTTTTCCCTACTTGGATTCAGAAAAGCTTCAGCTGGAGCAAGGAGTATCCAGTTTCCAGCAAATATGTCTTAAAAAGCTGCAAAAAAACTTCTGAGAGAGTTGGACAGAATCAAACAAACACTTGTCAGAGGCAGTCAAGGCACACAGAGGTGACCCAAGGAAGGAAATGGAAGCTGCTCTCTGGAGGCCCTCTCCACGTGGTGCTAAGTGCTTTTTTCCACCTAGATTTTGATTTATCTCAAGCCAGTTCACCCAGGGCTCACCCCACTCCTCACCTCCATCAGCAGCTTCCACCCAGCACCTCACCAAAAGGCCAAAACCTCATGGTGGGAGAGGAGATGCTTGATGAAAGGACAGAAGGGAGCAAGAAAGAAGAGGAGAAACATTTTGTGTCTGCTACTATTGCTGAGCAGAGTGTACAATAGGATTTACCCTCTCCAGCAGCATCAGATGCTCCTGCAGTTTGTGCAAATCCATATCCATGCCTGAGCACTTGCAGCATCCTGCCCTCTGGTGATTTGGCTTGAGCACGCTCAGGATGATAAATCCAGACTGGTTTCATGGTATATCCCCCATTGTACCTCACACATTTCCAATAGTGGGGAAACTTCTGCAGAATTTTAAGAGCAGGGATCTCCCACTGCACTGGGATCTACATCAGGACAAAATCTCACTTTGAAAGAAAAATATTCTTCCTACTAAATCTAACTCAGCAAGCTGGTTTGGCTGGGCCAAAACGCCACTAAAGAGTCCCCCATCCCTTAAACTCCTGTTGTGATTATCCACAGAGATGCCAAAGCTCGGAGCATTGCAGGTAGGTTTTCATGGATCCATTAATTGCTGTATAATTGGGGAGTAAATGGTAACTGGTGATTTCTGTCCATTACAGCAGAGTGGGAGCTGCTTGCTCAGTAATTCCTTTTTGCACAGGCTAAACACAATTAGCCATTAATCTGCAAAACGCTGTGATTATGATCCAGTTGTGGGGAATTGATGGGTATTTCTGGTTTCCATGGATGTAAAGAGCAGCCCAGGTGAGCCAGGTCCTTTGCAGTAGACAGTCTCATTCAGGATTTTCATTTTTAGGACAATTTTGGCTGTCACTGCCAGCAAGATCCAAGATGATGCAGAGCTGTCTGGACTCACACCACTGGATGCAAGGATGGGGAGACAGGAATGGGAAGGAGAATGCCTGAAGAGTGGTGAATAATTAAACTTCTGCCACTCAGGAACACCTGCTTTGCACAGCACTTTGAAAACACTGATTGGGAATGGAAACTGGGATATATTCAGAACAACTGGTCATCCTGAAGTCAGAAAATGAGTCTTAGAAAGGGTCTCCCAGAGCCTTGTGTGTGTTTTGGGATTTAGCTGGAAGCAGAGCCTAGGCAGGGATAAGCAAGGGAATCTCTGGAGCCTTTCTTCCCATGGAAGATCCCACAGCAGGAGCTCAGCCGGGATTTTAGATCTTGTCTGTCTGCAGCACCAGGGGCAAACACATATTGGACTTTTTAACCCAGCAGGCTCAATCCAGACCTGGAAAGGGGATGAATCCCATGGCAGAGCTGTGAGGATGAAGCCAGCTGGGATGAGGATGCTCACACTGGCAATTTGCAAAGGAACCATGAGAAAATGCTCTGTAATTTTGACACCACCTTCGCCATTTTGCTTTAGCAAGAACTTCGCTTTCCTTTGTAAGAAGCAATCTAGTTTTGAAAAATTCTATATTCATCTCTAAAAAAATAAGACAAGTATTTGTATTAAAAGCTGGGGATTGTTGATTTCAGCAAGTTATGGCTTTTTTTTTTTCCTACTGTAATCATAGATATGTATTTTTGAAACAAGTTTCAGTAAGTGTCTGGGTGTTAGCACATATTTTCTGTTTCCAGAAATGTTCAGTATTGTATGTGCTTTGCACCTCAGAAGGGAGTCTGCCAAGGCACTTAGAGAATGTAAGCAAGTCTTCCAGGGACTTCATGAAAATGGGCTGCCACTGACACCACACAAGAGCCCATCCACCAGCAGAGTCAATCCCCCAACCAAGCACGTTTCCTTAATATGCACCTGCTAGAAATTCCACAGTCAATAACAGCAGTATAATAATAATTTTTAAAAAAGTTATTTACCACATGTCACTAACAGAGAAAAGATTTCCCCTAATAAAAGCTCATAAAAGTAGATCTCAGCTGTCACTGGTAACAGCACAGGGAGGTTGTTTTGTTTTTTATTAAAAAAAATTAACAAAAAACAAATACCACAAGCTCACTTAAAGAAACAAGCAACTCCAAGAAGTCCTTTTCCTTTTACTTGTCCTTATAAGTGAGTTTTAGACATATGAGACTTTTTAACCCATCAGGCTTGATCCAGAGCTGGAAAGGGGTGTGAGGGGATGAATCCTTTGGCAGAGCTGTGAGGATGACACCAGCTGGGATGAGGATGCTCACACTGGCCCTGCCTGAGCCCATCTGATGCTGTGTGGGCTGCAGGGCATGGAACAGAGCAATTTGCAAAGGAACCGCGAGGAAATGCTGCGTCCTCCTCAGACCACAGGAGCTGCTCACTCATTGTGACCCCTCTTCAAAGCCCACTGAGCTCAACAGGAGTCTTTGAAAAGGACTTGCTCAGCCGTGACAATAAGATGGGAATGTGTTTCAGGGGAGAATAAAGGGCTGGAGCATCGATTTCCAGGAGAGCGGAGCTTCCCGGACACTCCTGAGCAATGCTCATACCATCAGGGCTTGTGTCTCCACCTTTCCTGGCACAGCTGCCTCCAACACAGGAAAACCATCCCAGAAGATGCAAATCTGACCCCTAAGTCTGACAAGTCTGGATTCTAATCACAATAACCTCAACAAAGCAGGAAATTGTGGGCAATTTCTGAGAAGGAAAGGCTGTGCTGCTTGCAACACAGACTGGCTCTCTTCAGGAAAAGCAAAAATCTACTAGAAGGAGCTGTTGCACTTCACAGGAGCAATGTTTAGAACTCACAAATATCCTTTTTTTTTTTTTTGCTTTTGAAACTCTCCAGTAGCATCAGATGCTCCTGCAGTTTGTGCAAATCCATGTCCATGCCTGACCACTTGCAGCATTCTGCCCTTTTGTAATTTGGCTTGAGCACACTCAGGATAATAAATCCAGAGTGGTTTCATGGTATATCTCCCCTTTGTACCTCAAACATGTCCAATAGTGGGGAAACTTCTGCAGAATTTTAGCAGAATTTTAGTGTTGGTCTGTTTTCTCTGACACCACTTTTGTGATTAGAGCTCAAATCCAGGGATTGATTCCTGTACCTGGCTCTGCCATCAACTCCTTGCACGATTCTGTGGAAACCATTTAATCTTCCTTGCATAAATTTTCCAGCCATAAAAAGGCAGAAAACTTCTTGCTCACTGTCATTCTATTTCATTGGATCCTTTGCTTCC